ACCTTGCCGTGTCCCTCCCCCCCACAGCTCTTCAACTGAGCACAGTGGGTGCGAGCTCCAGCCCGAAGTGGCAGGAGGAGAAGGCTGCCTTGAGCACAAATGTGGTGTGAAGGCAAGTATAGAGCCACTTCACTCCTGCACTAAGGCTCCGGCGACCCTCCTCCCCCTCCTCCTCTCATGACTCCTGGCCAACTGTGGTGGGACCGGGAGGGTGCGCCGTTATCTTGGCAACTCCACTGTGCTGTACAGTAGAAGCCATTTTAAGACAGTACAGTAGAAGCCATTTTAAGGCACAACAGGCTGTATCTTAACAGAATACACACCCCGAGGGGTGTTAGGAGTGTTTTACCCCCACAGTATTTATTTCCAGGGAGTAAGTCATCTGTGTACCAAGTTTGGTTGAAATTGCTTGAGGCGTTCCAGAGTTATGCTGGAACACACACACACACACACATCCATTTTTATATATATAGAAAACACCCTTGAGGTCTATGTGGGTATCCCAAACATTCTTAAAAAGCAAAATACAGGTAGTTCTCAACTTACCACCATAACTGAGCCCAAAATTTGTGTTGCTAAGTGAGAAATTTGTTAAGTGAGTATTTGCCCCATTTTACAATTTTTCTTGCCACATTTGTTAAGTGAATCCTTGCAGATGTTAAATTAGTAACACAATTATTAAGTGAATCTGGTTTCCCCATCAGAAGGTCATAAAAGGGGATCACATGTCTCCAGGATAAGGCAACCGTCATAAATGTGAGTCAGTTGTCAGGCATTCAAATGTAAATCATGTGACCATGGGGATGCTGCAATGGTCAAAAGTCTGAAAAATGGTCATAACACTTTTTTTCAGTGATGTAGCTTCAAATGGTCACTAAACGAACTGTTGTAAGTCGAGGACTACCTGTAGTTTCAGGTGACTGATTTCTGTCTTGCGCTTGGGGTAATATCCCTTCCCTGTGTTTTGAAGATTGGGGTCGTTTTATTTGTAAGAACACCCACTAAATTCTCTGTTAATTCCAAACACACTCGTTGATGATCCAAAAAGCTAGGCAAACTCAAGTCACATAGAAGCACTTCATTTTCATTTTAAAATGCATTTCACATGGGAGATCAATTTAAGCAGATCAGAAAGGGCCTAAAGCTTGTTAAAACCTTCTTCATAATTATAAAGTCACAGAATGACCCCACCAAAGCAATTCATCTCAAAGGAAGCTACATTGAATAGAGGGAAGTAATCCATCTGATTTGAAAGAAAATAAATATTGCACAGATATATTTTATTTTTCTTTCTCTAGGTGCCACTTTGAATCTACTGGAAAAGTTTTTATTTTTGTTTCTCTAAATGCTCTTCTTCGTCTTTGTTTTTTTCTCCCTGCCATTTTGATTCCTCTAAGCAGAACTGGCAGTTTATAGCCTTAATTCAATATTATTGAATAATACAGAATATTTTTTTTTCTGTAATTTCCAGAGCCTCTTCTAACTGTGGTGTCAAATTATTATACTGTACAGCAAGTGCCAGATGTAGGCAGCACTGTTTCATTCCATTTCTTAATAATGAAAAAAAAAGAAACAAACCTGTAATGTACACCTAAAATAGAGTGCGAAAAAACAAAATAAAATACCAACCCATCAAAAAATTATTCTGAGACACTGAAAGATTTTGTGTCTTGACTTTGCCATGGTGCTTTACTATCCTATGCTTGCTCCCTTCTGTTGCAAGTTAAGTGTGGTTGATGGTTATTTGGGGTGTTATAGAAATTTGCACTTCAGTTATTATAATTGCTTGGGTATGCTATACATTCTAGAAAATATCCACATAAGAGGGTTCAGACATCCAATAGGTCAACTTTCCCAAGCACGTTTCCCCAAATTAATAAAAAGTTCCTCCAAAACAATATTTGCAGCAGAACTCCTCACATATAATCAAAATCAGAGAACAATTGCTTCTTAGTATTCTGCTGCAGACAGTGCAATAATTCAAGATCAGAGAAGGCAGCATGGTAGGTGGAGGAATTTTGCTAAAGAAAAAGAAAATGCTGGAGATTTTTGGTTATCAGCCATTCCCAGATCAAAACAGCAAAAGTAAGTAGCCAAAGTACCTGTTTCCTCTTCTCGGCTCCTTAAACTGCTTTCCCTGAAATCTTCTTCCATGCTTGCAAATTATCCAGCCATAACATTCGGTGCAATTCTTGTTGTGATTAGACCGAACAAGGAACAAGGAAGTAGAATACAAATCTAGGCATGGATTAATGATTCTTCCAGGTAATATGCCCCAACGTTGTAACCAGGCAACCGATATCTTAGAGTACTGCAAACATGCATAGGCATAAAGCTTTCACTTTAATGCACTTATTTTAAAAAGTACAGCAGCTTCAGGAATGAAAGTATGAACAAGCATTTGAAGTAGAGCTTTTTGGAAATTCGGTTATTATATGTGGTATACAATATTAATCTAGCCATTCCCCCTTATGAATAGATAGACTTTCTTTCTGTTTTTTGTGCCACTTGCATTCTTGAGTCCAGATTGAAACATTGTTGGGTTGTGGGCAGTGGTGGGATTCAGCCAGTTTGCACCACTTCGGGAGAACCAATTGTTAACTTTCTGAGCAGTTTGGCAAACTGGTTGTTGGAAGAAATCATTAGGGCAGAGAATCAGTTGTTAAATTACCTCAATCCCACAACTGGTTGTGGGGATTATATATTAAGCAGCCCAGAGGTTTTGGTAACAAAAGCATTAAATGTCCTTCAAAATATTACACGTATTCTGATGGGGAGGGGGTCACGGTCACCCTATGACCAGCCAGATGGAGAATCAGAAAATTCAGCTTCATAAACAAGTGGTTCAGGAGAAGAAAGGTTGACCTGAGCACACACAAAAAAACTAACGCAGTCCTAGGCTACATCAAGAGAGGAATAGAATCAAGATCACGTGACGTGTTACTTCCACTTTATAAAGCTTTGGTAACACCACACATGGAATACTGCATCCAGTTTTGGTCACCATAATATCAAAAAGATGTTGATACTCTAGAATGAGTGCCGAAAAGAGCAACAAAAGTGATTAAGGGACTGGAGGTTAAAACATAAAATGAACAGTTGCAGGAACTGGGTATATCTAGTCTAATGAAGAGAAGGACTAGGAGTGACTTAAGACTAGTCTTCCAATATTTGAGGGGCTGCCATGGAGAAGAGTGGATTGACTTACTTGACAAGAAATAATGGTGAAAACTTGTTAAAGAGAGATCCAACCTAGGAGAAATTTCCTGTTAGTGAGAAGAATTTATCAATTAACACCTTTCTTCCAGAAGTTGTGGAGGAAAACCATTTGTCCAGAATTGCATAGAGTCTCCTACTTGAGCAGGGCGTTGGACTAGACCTATGTTATGGATGTGTTCTTACTGTTAGAATGTGTAAACCACAACAGGATGAAAGATCTGAGCAGGGTAGGTTTGGTCTGAGCAAGACCAAAAATGCAATGAATATCGGTATTGATTTATTGAATGAAGCAGGGAAGTGAGGTAGCTGAAGGAAATAAGGACTGGTTTATAGGTGTAAGATTGTTTTACCTTACAGATGATGGTTAGCTCTTTGGGATAAAAACATCTGAAATTCAGCTCCTTGTAGTGAGGAACAAGAAACTACTATTCTCAATGTGGTAACCTCAGGGGTGAAATCTACTTACCTTATCGGTTCGGAAGTATGCACTCTGCGTGCACGAGCGTGTCACAAGCATGCTTGGACCCTTTGCACATGCGCAGAAGGTCAAAAACAGGTTACTTCCTGTTACTACTCCAGGAAGTAACGATGTCCAGGCGGGTGGGCAGAGCCTTGCTCTGCGGCCGCTACCGGTTCTCCGAAACATGCGCTGCCGCTACTGGTAAGGCCGAACTGATAGCATTTCACCCCTGGGTGACCTGCTTAATGAACTTAATGATTTACAATTATAATTCTGCATTCAATTATGGTCATAAGTTGAGGACTAGGTGCGGTGTCTTTGTTTCTCTCTCTCTTTTTCCTTTTCCCCGCATCTTCTGAATTTTTCTTTTCTTTTTCCTTCTAGTTTCATTTGTATTGGTTTTTACTGCAGTATATTTACTAAAATCTTCAACAAATAATTATTTAAAAAGAACACAAAAAATAACTATCTTCAACAAAAGTTGTAGACAGATTATCCCCTCAGGCCAGGTTGTTAATAGAACCCCACCTGTATGGGGTTTAATTTAAAGATAACCTTTTAGGGGTCTTTGATTGATCGATTACTTTGTATTGATTACTTTGTATTGCCATTTTTATAATGTTCTGTTTTTTAATGTTGCTTTTTTTTGTAGCCACTAAGAGTCACAAGGGTGAGATGGACAACTATATAAAATCTATAATTAAGGACATTACCTGAATATATTTTTGGTTTGCAAACTAAAATCCACCTTTCTCAATTTCCAACCAATGTACGTATATGTGTATTTAGACTATAAATCTGAATATACGTAAATATGTAGCATTTTTATCTTACCACTTCATTAGTAAACAAGTAATATTTTTTGCTGTAGCTTTTTCCCTTGCTTCCCAGAATGTTCTTTGACCAATAATAATTTAGGAGTTTTGGGGACCCCAACAGATTTTGAATATTTATTTCATCATTGATCAAGCATGAATCAATATCACACAAAACAAGAACATATATAGACATTATTTTCTTCTACTATTTCTCATAATAGGGCATACAAGTAGGTGGTTTATTATCATTTTAATCATTAGAATATTTTATGAAATCATACCATACAAAAAAAAATCCTATTTTCTTCCACTGCTTTCAATATATATGGTAATTTTTGTTAAGTGACAAAAAGACCATAATTTACTTTATCATACCATTTTTTCTTAAGTGCTCCTGCTAGACCCACCAGTATTTTTTATTACAAATCCAGTTGCTATTAATAAAATGCTGTGTTTTTTACATATTTATGTTCTTACCAGAAAATAATGACAAAAGTCTAAGATGTTTTCTATATTTTTATTAGTAATTAATGCATTCTCTAGAAACGTCATATCCCCAAATAAACAGCCCTGTGCACTTAATTAGCGTGAAATTTTAACAGTGAGAGGGTAGTAACAATCAAGAAACATTCCAAAGATTTTTTTTTCTGAAAAGCTATAAAAGAGAAAGAATGGGTTTTCCCATATGCAATTCCATTTATCTTGAGATATTGCTTTTTTAAACATCTAATTTGCATGTTTGTTTGTTTTTAAAAAATATCTCCAATGAATGATTGCAATAAAGGTGTATAATTTTCTTGTCTTGAAGAATATCCTTCTGTACCATTAAGTTTTATGCATAAATTCAAATTCTATAAATTGTCCAGTTAAAGTGAATTAAAAATCCCTCATTTTTCATGGAAACCTCAACCCACATCCATTATAACCAGTTTAATGCAGTTCCTAATATAAAGTTTATAAATTCACCCAAACTGTAAAATTAACAGCAATAAAACCAAAAACAGAAAAAAATGTTTGGGAGATTAGATGAAAATAGTCCAGGACTGTTGGGTCTGGTAATGGCTTCCTGAGGTAGGGTGCACCACCAGAACCTTCAACGCAGGAGGAACTATTCCTCTCCCTCAAGAAGAGATATTTTACTGCATGAACTCAATCAAGGATCACTTCCCATGGGGGGTGGGGAGTGGGACACACACATGGAACTAATAAACAGCTGATGGAATTGCCCAATCAGAAACCAATTCTGAGCAAATCCAAGCAATTTTATCTACCACAGAATATTCCTCATGATTGCCTGCAGATGAACCTATAGCTCATTCCCCCTCCACCACCACCACCAAAAGGACCTTAAACAGAGCCACTATTTATAAGTGCAATATAAATAAAAAAAATAACTGGATTTTGCCATTGTTATCACTTACAATGTAACAATGTAAGTCAACTCTTACTCCTGTTCTTCTATTTCAACTTTATAAAACGAAACAATTTTTATAAAAATATTTTATATCAGATGGCCCTTTCACTCACTTTTTCACTGATGTAATTTCAAACGGTCATTAAATGAATGGCTGTAAGTCAAAGACTATCTGTATCTTAATACTGTATATTCTACATACTCACTCATTTATATGGCTACCTATTTGCCAAGCAACTTTGGGCAGCTATTAAAGGTTTGAAAAGATGACCATAGGCCTCATGTAATTATAAAAAGTTCAGGTACCATTCAGGAGTGCTATTGACTTATGTTCGCTACCGGTTCGCAAATGTGAGCTTGCGCGCCTCCTACACGCATGCACATAGCCTTCTCCACGTGTGCAGAGGGTAAAAAATGGGACATGATGACATCCGGGCAGGTGGGCAGAGCCTCCCATTGCCGCCGCTACCGGATCGCACGATCCAGATAGAACCAGCTGAATTTCACCACTGGTACCATTCCATTCTACTGCTTGGAGGAAGAATCAGGTTTCCAGAGCGTTCTTAGAAACCAGCAGAGTTCAGGCCAACCAGATCTTGGGGAGAAAACAGTATTTTATAGAGAACAGAGAAGACTGCAGACAGATGCCACAGATATCTGGCGCCTTACATTGTACCCAGAAGCCATGTATAACCAATGTCACTTATGCAGTCATGAATGACATGGGCCTATTTGAATGTACACATACTTTACTCATACTACTAAATTCTGGAAAGGCTTTAGCTTCTGGGTGACTTTCAAGGTCAGTTCCATGTATGTTGCAACAATCCAAACAAGAATTATCTGAGGCATTAGTAACGATGAGTAGCAATGGTGGGTTGCCCTCGATTCGAACCAGTTCGCAAGAACCGGTAATAAAACCAGCGGGAGGCTCCGCCCACTACCCCGGATGTCATCATCGGTGATCTGTGCATGCGCAGAAGCAAGTCGTGTGCGCTTGCTTTGCTCGCGCTAGCACGATCCCATTGCAAACCGGTAGTAAAGATAAGTAGAACCCACCCCTGATGAGTAGCATCCCAAACCCCGCAACCCAGAAACAACTGCAATTGGTATACAGGATGAAGGACCTCCTAGAAACATCCAGCCCATGTTCTTCAACTAGGAGTCAAAAGTCTTACTAGGATCCCCAAATTGTTTCAATGAACCTAGGAAAATATCTGGCCTTCAAAGAGCCATATATAATTTTCATGTATTAAAGCTATATTGAAAAAATATATAAAGCCTATATAGTAAATCTATGACAAGTTGGGAGCACCTTTGTTATAAAAAAAAAGTTTTACATAAATCTTTACCATTATAGGCAGTCCTTGACTTACAATTACAAAGTTGGCTCAGCTTTCTATCTTCCCGAGGTCAGTAAAATGAGGAGCCAGATTGTTGGGGACAATGTACTGACTCTGTAAACCGCTTAGAGAGGGCTGTAAAGCACTGTGAAGCGGTATATAAGTCTAAGTGCTATTGCTATTGCTCGAATTAAGACTGGAACGTCATTTGCTAAGCGAGATTGTCATTAAGTGAGTCACACTTGATTTTATGACCTTTTTTGCCATGGTTGTGAAGTGAATCATGTAGTCATTGAATGAATCCCGCTTCCCCCCAAATTTGATCATGTGACTGTGGGAACACCGCGTAAGTGCAAGAACAGGCTGAAAATCACTTTTTTTCAGTGTTGACAGAATTTCAAATGGTCATTAAATGAATGGCTGTAAGTCGAGGACTACCTGCATCTTAATACTGTATTTTCTTATTTGACCCTCCATTTATTTTGACCTTCCATTATTAAAGGGACCATGAGCTTAAGCTGAAATGCTTTAAGATACAATCTGAAATTTGGAACATCCCATCCTCTTTCATGATGCTGTAAATATAGCAATATGTAAATATTGAGGCCATTTTGAACCTATACAAAATACCTCCTCTTAGTTATTGCTAATCTAAGCAATAGAATAGCTTTCCCCATTGATTATTTAAGACAAAAGAATACTGTCTTTTCATTCCCACTTCTGGTCATCTTTGCCCTTTGGGGAGGGCTCCCATTGCTTTCCCAACCACATAGAAACTCACAGCCCCCACATGAACACAATAATGCACTGAGCTCCAATAGCGAATAGTACCCTCAAAGGTACGCAAGAGGAAACCTACACACACATAGTCATAAGCCCGCATCTTCAGGAACCAGTGTGCCCAGTCAGCACAGGCACGGCCAGAGGGGGAAAGATGCCTCAATAACCCGTCCTCCATGGCCTCCTCAGCTATGAGGCATAATGGAATGGTATGGAAACTGAGGTGATAGCCAGGGCGGAATCCATGCCAGTAGGCCGAGATACCCATAGTCCAGGCATACCTAAGAAGAAAAGGGTCTTGTCAGTCCTATCTTTTTATTATGCCAATTCATGCATCAATTTATCTCAGAATCCTTCCCATGTCCCACGATCATTTCTAACACTGTCGTGGCTGTTGTTAAATCTAGCTCAGTCTTTCCCAACCTACAAATCTGTTGGACTTCATCACCTAGAAGCCTCCAGTTAACGCTCCAAAACTCTTCAGGTTGACTTTAAAGATATGGGAATTGAAAATATAGGAAAAGGAGTGGCAAAGACTGTGGGAGGAGTCAAAAGAGGAATTAGCCTAGAGCCGTGATGGCGAACCTATGGCACGCGTGCTACAGGTGGCACGCATAGCCATATCAGTGGGCATGTGAGCTCAGCTCTGGCGCACATGTGCGTGCCGGCCAGCTGATTTTCAGGCCTTCTGGGCCCACCAGAAGTTGGCAAATGGGCCTCCAGGGGGTGGGGAAGGCAGTTTTTGCCCTCCCCAGACTTCTAGAGAGGCTCTGGAGCCAAGAGAGAGAGAAAAACTGGGCCATTGTGTGCCGGGGGGGAGTGCGGAGGTGCATAAAATTATGGGTGTGGGCACATGCGCGCACGCCTCCCCAGCCCCCCACTCCTGGCACACGATGACAAAAAGGTTAGGCATCACTGGCCTAGAGTCTCTACATTCCCACAGACAGACTAAGTCGAACTCAGCTTGAATTCTGTTAACCCTTAACTAGCATCAAAATAGTACTATTTGTTAGTTGATTAGATTGCTGGGCATAGGCATGAGCAATAAATCAGCTTAACTGAAACTTAACATGTAGCTCGGTCTTTTATGCCTAACCCCTAAGTAGAAGGCATAAGGTTGGGAAATGATTATTTATGCAACTTTCATTCAAGCCCAAAGCACTTTGTGAGTTCTCTCAGGCCCAATTTGCTTTACTGATTTCCCCTTTTTCAGTTACGGGTTGCTGCTTATGTCCCTTCCCAAATTTATCTAATTATCCACATTTTCCATGCATAGCCCACATTAACCAGTCCCCTCTACTTTATAATATCTCTGTCAACTACCTCATTTTTCATCCCCTTCATTCATAATATATTTATTTATTTATTTATTATTGTGACTTATATGCCGCCTTTCTCCCGAGGGACTCAAGGCGGCTTACAAAATGACAATTTCCAATACAAATCACAATAAAATAAAATTAAAATCAACACCCCAATTTAAAAGTTTAAAATTATAACAGTGTACATCCAAACGGATCAGTTGAGTTGACAGAAGAGCCACATCTTCAGCTCGCGACAGAAGGAAACGAGGTCGGGGGCTGTCCTGAGCTCGGTGGGCAATCCATTCCAGAGGGTCAGGGCTCCCACAGAGAATGCTCTCCTCCTGGGGGCCGTCAGCCAACATTGTTTGGCCGACGGCACCCTGAGGAGGCCCACTCTGTGAGAACACATGGGACGATGGGAGAGCGGCAGGAGATGGTCCTGCAAGTACCCTGGGCCTAAGCCATGAAGGGCTTTATAGGTAAGCACCAGCATCTTGAAATGAATCTGGAATGCCACCGGCAGCCAGTGCAGCTCACGCAGGAGAGGTGTTACATGGGAGTATCGAGAAACCCTCGTAATTACCCGCGCGGCTGCATTCTGGACTAGCTGAAGCCTCCGGACGCATCCCAAGGGCAGCCCCATGTAGAAGGTGTTACAGTAGTCCAACCTAGAGGTAACAAGGGCATGAGTGACCATGGCGAGGGCATCCCGGTCTAGAAAAGGGCGCAACTGGCGCACAAGACGCACCTGTGCGAAGGCCCCCCTGAAACCAATCCTCATCTTTTTGTGCTATATTTTTTATTGCTGCTTCCCACAATTCTCATTTGCATATTCATATCAGACCCAATTAGTCCCACAATCCTGCATTCCTTTTCCCCTTCAGATCTACATCATTGAAGAGCCTTCCTTGTTGGTCTTCAAAACAACCAATTACTGTTAGAACAGTGATGGCTAACCTTTTTGCTGTTGCGTGCCAAAAGCGGGGAGAGCGCGTGGGGGGGGGGGTTACACACGTGTGCCCACACCCATAATTCAATGCACCCTGCGCCACGTGCATGTGTGACCCCCCCACATGCTCCCACCACATTTGGCACGTAATGGCACAGTGGGCCCGATAGGCCCATTTTTCACCCTCTCCAGGCTCCAGAGGCTTTCTTGGAGCCTGGGGAGGACGAAAATGGCCTTCCCCACCCACAGGCCGGAAATGGTCTGTTTCTGGACTTCTGGTGGGCCCGGAAGGCCCAAAAATCAGCTGGCCGTCATGCGCATGCACGCTGGAGCTGAGCTACGGTAATGCTCGTGTGCCCACCGATATGGCTCTGCGTGCCACCTGTGGCACACGTGCCATAGGTTCGTCATCACGGGTCTAGAACATTGCTTCTTAAACTTAGCAACTTTTAAAATATTTAAAAGGCTGGCTGGGGAATTCTGGAAGTTGAAGTCCACACGTTAAAGGTGTCAAATCTGAGAAATACTAGTCCAGAATTATCTTTTCTGTCTTCTCCATAAAACAGTTCTACAACAATGCACTTTATATCATACCTCACGTCCAGCTCTCGTTTGCCCCGAGTGTTCCATTATTTTAATCACGTGACTCACCTTATGACACGGGGAAGGAAAGGCACATTTTTGTAGGTGTATTGGTGTAACCACCATTGGACAGTCATGTTCCAACAGCGAATCCCCTCCTTCACCTTGATACAAAATTCTGTACCATATGGATCAATGTTTCTGATTGTCTCATAATCATATGCAACATTGGATGCTTCCCCGTCAGCTAATCTGCTTGTTAGAAAAAGAGAAAGAAAATTCTTTATATAGGTTTTTCACTCTGGAACTGACTGGAGCTATGCATTCTATGCTGGACTGACCACTTCAAAGACTCTCTTGAGTTAATACATATATTTTTAAAAACTGTCATTTGATTTAAATAGCTCACCTTCTGGATGGGAAAAGGGTGCAGACCTCTATATAAAATACCTACAGGCTTATAGTCCTCTGAACCAAGAAGGGGTCAACATTTTCATAAAATAGGAATTTTGTTCATTTATATCCTAAATCATCCTTTTATATCATTTATATCCTGCCTTTATTATTTTTTTATAAATAACTCAAGGTGGCAAACATATTGCCTAATATTGCCTAATATTATTATGGTTTGCCACCATATTGCCTAATATTGCCTAATATTCCTTCCTCCTCCTATTTCCACCACATAACAATGCTGTGTGGTAAATTGGGCTGAGAGAGGGAGTGGCCCATTGTCCCTCAGCCGGATTTCATGCCTAAGGTGAAACTAGAACTCACAATCTCCTGGCTTGTACCCTGGTGCCTTAACCATGAATATAAAGAATGTTTTTCTAAATTTAGGATTCATTCACATATCCCTCCCCACAACTGCCCCGTGAAAATGTCTTGGGCATCTAAAGCATTATGACATGACCTCATGATTCAGTCTTCGTCATAAAATCCCCAATCCAAGAGCTCAGGCTGCATTTATCTGATCCACTTATTCATGCGGTATTTTCTGTCTTCTTTCAACATTGCCCACAAGGCAGATCAAATTCTGACCAGTGACGAAACCTCTGGATGTAAACACATGTCAAAACTCATATCCAGCGCCAGCCCAAATTAAGACAGGTGAATGTTTTTCCTGCCTGCACAAAATCCACCAGGACTAGTTAAGGAAAATACATTAGGGCCCCACCATTCACTGGTTTTAGTATCAGGCAGAACAGAAATCAGCAGATGGTGGAAAGCAAATAATGCTCATTCTTTTGTGCCACAGCTGTCAGTATCTTTAGTCTATTCTATTCAGGGAGTCCTCCTCCACCTGCAACCACAATTTCTGTTACTAAGCAAGGCAGGTGTTTAAATGATTCACACCTGATTTTGCAACCTTTTTTGCCACAGTTGTTAACTGAGTCACTGCAACTGTTAAGTGAATCACACCGTTGTTAACAAATCAACTTTCCCCCTTGGCTTTTCTTGTAAGAAGCTCCCTGAGAAGTCGCAAATGGCGACCACATGATCCCGAAACACTGCAATCATCAGCTGGTTGCCAAGCACCCAAATTTTGATCATGTGACTATGAGGATGCTGCAATGATCCTAAATGCAAGGACCAGTTGTAAGTCATTGTTTTCAGTGCTATTGTAACTTTAAATTGTTGCTAACGAATGGTTGTAAGTCAAGGACTGCCTGTACGGTTAGTCCTTGACTTAGGACCACAACTGAGCCCCAAATCTCCCATTACTAAACAAGGCAGGTAAGTGAGTTTTGATCCATTTTACCACCACGTTTAGAATAGAATAACAGAGTTGGAAGGGACCTTGGAGATCTTCTAGTCCAACCCCCTGCTTAGGCAGGAAACCCTACACCACTTCAGACAAATGGTTGTCCAATCTCTTCTAAACAACTTCCAGTGTTGGAGCACTCACAACTTCTGGAGGAAGTTGTTCCACTGATTAACTGTTCTAACTGTCAGGAAATTTCTCCTTAGTTCTAAGTTGCTTCTCTCCCTGATTAGTTTCCACCCATTGCTTCTTGTTCTACCCTCAGGTGCTTTGGAGAATAGTTTGACTCCTTCTTTGTGGCAACCCCTGAGATATTGAAACAACTTTTTTTCACAGATGTTAAGTAAATGACTGCAGTTATTAATGAATCATGTGGTCGTTAAGCGAATATAACTTCTCCCATTAACTTTGCTTGTTGGAAGCTGGTTTGGAAGATTATAAATTACACATGACTCTCGGATAGGACAACGGTCACAAACACATGCCAGTTGCTAAGTGCCCGAATTTTGATCACATGACTATGGTTGTGGTGCAACGGTCATAAGTGTGAAAATTGGTCGTGAGCAGGGTGGATAAAAATCAATGATTTTTTTTAAAAAATCAAAAAAATCAGATTTTTTTGATTTAAATCGGATTTTTTTGATTTTTATCGAATTTATTTTAATAAAAAACTTTTGGGGTAAAAATCTATCGTAAGATAGTTTTCTATTTAAGATACATAAATAATTTAGTTTATTCAGCATGAAATGGAGCTTAGTTATGTAGCATGAGGCTGTATATTCTGCAACACTGGGACTATTGGTGAGTCAACAGTGGGTCAAAGGAGTAGCAGAGATGACAGTTGCTCTTTAAAAATTAAAATGAGTTGATTTAAATCAAGCCTTTTTACTAGTGATTTAAATAATGATTTAAATTGTGATTTAAATCAACTCGATTTAAATCAAATCCACCCTGGTCGTGAGTCACTTTTTTTTCATTGCCGTAGTATCTTCAGTAAATGAATGGATTCAAGGTCACGACTACCTGTAGTGGAAAAGGATTTTTTTTTTTTAGCCAAGGAAGAGAATGTGTTGTAAACTCACCGGATTAGAGATTCGTATTCCTCAGTCGGTCCTTTGCCTGGTTGTGACTTGGCACAAGTTGGATAAGCTCCAAGGCCAGCAGTGATGCAGGCACTCTCAGCGCCATACCAGGTCACATAGTTACGCAGGCGGAAGACAAGGGAAACTGGTATCGTGTAGAAAAGACGGAAACAGAGCCCTTTTTCGTAGAAGGCAGCATTTTCCACATATTCAGGGGGCCAGATGTAGGAGACAGCCAAAAATGAGGTTGCAAAGACAGGTATCATAGCCAATCTGTAAAGCAGTGGCTTCCATGTAGGAACTTCAGAAGGATTGGGTTGATTCAACCAATCGTGATATGTACGATAGCGATAAAACAAACCTGGATTTTAAAAACACAGAAGAGAAAGCAATAAAACAAACCAAGACCAATGAGAGATATCTGTCTAAGACAGGAGTGGGCAATAAATAACTAATGATTTGCCAGCTCAGGAATTCTGGAAGTTGAAGTCCACAGGTCATCAAGTTGCCGTAATTGTCCATCCCTGGTGTAAGAGAATATGCACATTTTAATAATCTGGAATATTGTGGCTTTTTCCACAACATCAATTCCCTTAATTCAGAGCCAGTATCTTGGTTGGGTACAGTGGTGAAATCCACTTTTTTTTACTACCGGTTCTGTGGGCATGGCTTGGTGGACATGGTGTAGCTTGCGTGGGCACAGCAGGGGAAGGATACTGCAAAATCTCCATTCCCACCCCACTCTGGGGCCAGCCAGTCATGGTATTTGCTGGTTCTCCGAACTACTCAAAATTTCTGCTACCGGTTCTCCAGAATCTGTCAGAACCTGCTGGATTTCACCCCTGGTTGGGTATTATGGGAAACATCATCCAACATATTTGGAGAGCTTTTATTTTGGAAAGACTGTATTAAAGCAGGATATGGTTTGGTAATTGGTATGGATTTCCTAACTGCACAACTCTATTTTTCTGAAGGATTTGGCAACAGAAACATAATCTCTACTATCTTAACTTTTTTCTATGCAATTCTCACAAAGCGGGGGCGGGGGGAAGCTACAAAGGTGAAAAATTAATGAAAGACATACAGACTAATACAGGGGTCTCTAACCGCCAGTCTGTTGACAGGCACCGGACTACAACATGCCAGGAACTGGGTCATGCAAACATGTGAAGCCCCATCCGTGTGATGCAGGCAGCATATGAAATCATGCTCCCTCCGGTTTGCGGAAAAATCTCTTTCCACGGAACTGGTCCCTGGTGCCCAAAAGGTTGGGGGCTGCTGGACTAGTAGAAATTATAGTCATTTTTTTTTCCTGATAAGCAAGGTAGTGTCCAACATATTTCTGTAAATATACAGGTAGTCCTTGATTTACAGCCAATCGCTTACCTACCATTTGAAGTTACAATGGACTTCCCCAAAGCTACTTACAACCCATTTTTGAAGTTATAATGATCACGTACAAACACTCAGCCACATCAGCAGTGAAATTCAGTTGGCTCTATCCGGATCACGCAATTCGGTAGTGCCGGTGGCGGGAGGGTTCGCCCACCCACCCGGACATCATCACGTCCTGTTTTTGACCCTCTGCACATGCGCAGAAGGCTCTGTGTATGCATGGAGGAGTGCACATGCTCACATTTGCAAAATGGTAGCGAAGATAAGTGACTACCACCCCTGAGCCACATGATTCTGTTTGGGCACTTGGCAACTAGCTTATCTTTTCTGCTGTTTGCAATGTCCAGCTGAAAAGGCAAGCTAGTTGCCAAGTGAATAATAACTGGGCTTGTGTGTATGCAGCCATTGCTTAATGATGTGGCATTCACCTAACAACTGCTACAAAAAATGTTAAAAATTTGGATCTGGTTATGCCTCAACTTATGACTGCAATGATGATCATAATGGCTTAAATTATGGTCATAAGTTGAAAAGGACCTGTAATAGAGCCCACGCTTACATAGTAGGGGTCGGTTCTAAAATTTGTTACTACCTGTTCTGTGGGCATGGCTTATTTTGTGGGCATGGCTTGTGGGGGTAATGTGACTGGGTGGGCGTGGCCAACTCTCTTTTTTTTTACTTTTAAAAGCATTTTTTCTACAGCCTTAAGAGGTTGCAGAAAAAAGTGCTTTTAGAAACCTCTGACGATCAGCCAAGTCAGCTGGGATCACCAGAGGCTTTTAAAGGCATTTTTTTTCCCTACAACCTCTGCAGCCGAAGAGGTTGCAGAAAAAAAATGCTTTTAGAAGCTTCTGACAATCGGGCAAGTCAGCTGGGATCGCCAGAGGCTTTTAAAGGCATTTTTTTTCCTACAACCTATTCGGCTGAAGAGGTTGCAGAAAAAAATGCTTTTAAAAGCCTCTGAGATCCCAGTTGAGCCACGCGATCATTAGAGGCTTTTTTTTTTAACTTTTAAAAGCATTTTTTCAGCTGAAGAGGTTGTAGAAAAAATGCTTTTAAAAGTTTTTTTTTTAAAAAAGCCTCTGATGAGGTGGGTGGGGTAAGCGAGCAGCAACCGGGCCGGGGACTGGTTCGGGGGCATGGCCAGCCAATGTTATTACCGGTTCTTGCAAACCGGTGCGAACTGGGAGCAACCCAGCACTGTTACACAAACACGACACCAAAATCAACAGACAGCTGACATAAAAAGCAGACAAGAGGGCAAAGCTGGAATGGGCATTATTCTTTTTGACTTGCTCTGATCTCTTACCTTTTCCTTTAAAGAAAAGTCCTGTTACAAAGAATAACTCTTCAGCCCAGGATCTTCTCTTATTGATAAGAGAACAATAGAATAATAGAATTGGAAGGGACCTTGGAGGCCTAATCCAACCCCCTGCTCAAGCAGAAGACCCTAAACCTAGAACATTCTGGACAAATCCCTGTTCAATCTCTTCCTAACAACCTCCAGGGATGGTGCACCCACAACTTCTGAAGGCAAGTTGTTCCACTGAATAATTGTTCTGTCTTCTTCATTCTAGGTGGAATCTCTCTTTGATAAGTTTCCATCCATACTTATCTTGCCTCAGATGCTTTGGAGAATAGTTTGTCCCTCTCTTCTTTTTGATAGCCCCTGATATATTGATGCTTATATATATATATGTAGTGAAAAAGTACCAACATTTTAAAATGTTTATAAACCCACCATTCATAAGGCTGTCAAAAGAAAAGTGCATCACAGGGATTTGTACCTGTAGACATAGTTCACTTTCTATTAGGTAGTTCATCTACCTGTCATAAGTCCCACATAGCAGTAACTGTAGCACATTATCTCTGGCAGTCCAGGTGTTTCAGAAATCACGCCAATCGCTGGAGACTTGATACCTGATGTCACTTCCTGTTCCTTCACCTTAATGAATTCTTGCACTTCATTGGCTATGCTCACCATCTGGAGACATCAATTAAAATACAGGAGGAAGGACTTACTTCCTCTTAACCCAAGAACTCTCCCTGCCCTTAACCAACCACAGTTTAGTGCCAGCTACCTTGAGGGTGAGCAAAAGTTGCACAGATTTGGTCAAATGTGTTGTCTGGGGAAACTTGAAGGAAGTAAATTTGTGGAAAAAGAGCAGGTATGAAAACGTCCATCCTAATGTCAGAGAGCAGGAATGCCTATTTTAAAAAAGAGAACATATAATGGTTAAGAAATCATCCACATCATAATTTCATGCATATATATGCCTCTGTTCTTGTATTCACCTCTATTCTAACCAAACATGCATTTCCATATTGTTGAGGTGGAGTTCACACTTGAACTACACTATAATGTGCATTGTTTGGTTTTGATTTAGCATGGTAATGTGCTTAGGGTCACATATGAACAAGGCTGCAAAGTATGGGGAAAAGGGTCGGGAACTTTCTAGATACACACAGGTGCACATAGTTATCCTGTAGCAATTCATATAATGATCTCAGCTTAACAAAGCACACACACACACACACACACATTCGACTTGCAACAGTTCATTTAGTGACCATTCAAAGTTACAACATCACTGAAACAAGTGACTTATGACTATTTTTCACATTTACAATTGTTGCAGCATCCCGGTTGTCACGTGATCAAAATTCAGACAGTTAGCAACTGACTCACATTTATGACGATTGTGTTGTATCCTAGGATCATGTGATCATCTTTTGCAACTTTCTGACTAAGTCAAACCAGATTCACTTAACAACTGTATTACTAACTTAACAGCTACAATGATTCACTTACAACTGTGTCAAGAAAAGTCATAAAATGGGGCAAAATTCACTTAACAAATTTCTCATTTAGCAACATAAATTCTGGGCTCAATTGTGGTCATAAATTGAAGACTACCTGCATATGTATATACAATTTCACAACAGCTTTTTATAGGGTCTGATCTGTTTCTTTACCTCTTTCCCATGGATTATTTCTATGCTTTCACTTCTAACTTCACTTTTATGCTAGGAAGAGAACAGGAAGAGGGAAAAGTAACCCTTTTTTTGAGCTTTTGGCATGCCAGACCCTTTGTTAAGCTGCTCTTGCTGACATCTGGGCCTCTTTTCCAAAATCTGCAGTTCTTTCTGCCAGCTCCTTTGCTCAGCAGATCTCTATTTTGGGCTTTGTGTGATCCTGCTGGATTTCCAACTTTCCTCTCTCCTTCTTGATACATACAGTACACCGGCCCACACCATACAAAAACAACTTTAGGAATTCCCAATAATTCTTCCTCCTCCGCTACTTAATGCTTTCTTATAGATTTATAGAAGTGAGCAAGGTGTTTAATTAGATGCTAAGCTAGTTACTGTCCATAGGACACTGAGCCTGATTTTGCCCCTCTCCTCCAGCCAAGATCCTTTAACCATTGTGCCTACTGCATCATCCCAAATTCATCATGTCAGCCTTTCCAGATAAACCAGACAGGAAACACAACTAGAAACTAATTCTACTTTATTGCAAGGCTATATTAACAGAATTGTGCAAGTGTGAAAGTGTAATTTCTCATTACCACTTTTAACTACTTGGTCCATTAAGATGAGAGCTTCCTGAAGACTTCCAGTTTGGCATCGCGGTGAGACTGTTGGAGATAGCAGGGCTCCACGGATCCCGGCTGATTCTCCAATAGGAGGCTCTAAGGGGCCAAAATCACCCTGGAGGGGTGACGAAGAAAGAAGGGATTCCTTGTCAATCGCTGGAGAGCAGCGGCTATCCTGCTTGATCCAAGGCTTCCTCCTGATCAACAGAGAAGAGAGATGGCCATTATGGCCAGAATGAAGCTGGGGCAACCAAAGAAGAAATGAGCTGGGGCAGTGTGTGAACAGGGGATTGGAACTGGATGAAACAATTTTCAATTTCTTTATTAGAGACCCACCCTAAATAAAAGAATTTTTGAAAGACTCCAAAGCGCAAAAAGTGGCAAATTAACACACAAAGATAAAAGTATAGACCCAAAAGAGAAACAAAATTTTAATGGAAGAATATGAAGTTTTAAAATATAGAAAGACTGAACTGGAATTTGTAGTGCTGTGAAAAGTGATTTTAATTTGTTGGAAATATTGTTTGGCTGCTGGAAGAAACTGTTTAAAGAAAATGCTTTTTTTGTTGAACTGTGAACCAGCTGTTAGAGCTTTTGCCTCCTTTTGGTACTGAAACTTAGAGTTGGGACACCATATTACTATATAGTTGAAAAGGACTTTGTGGGGGGGGGAGTCAGGCTTGATAAAAAAGAAAGGAAAGTCAGGACTGATAAGAGGAGAAACAAAGTGAAAGGCAAACAACATCTGGAAGGCCATTTTTTTGCTTTTCCTTTTCTATCAACTTGTTTCTTGGCACCTTGGGAGTAACTGGTGAGCCTTTTGAAACTTTTCAAAGTAGTATGGATTATAAACAAGAGGAATTGCCTTTGAAACTGAACACTTGAATCTGTGAATTAAAGAGACATGGGGAAATTTGGTGGGCCATTCTGGATTACAAATACTATTTGATAGAATATTTTACGAGGCGAAAGAAGAAAATTTAAATAAGACCTACAAATTTGAATAATTCAGAGGGAGCAAAACAACAGACTTTGAGGACTATAAATACTGTGGAATTTAAGGAACAGTTCAGGGACTGAGCAAATTCTTCTAATATTGGCTTTTTGGTGTTTTTTGGACACTTGGGACACTGGGATCTGGATGGATTACTGAGTAACTTTTAGCCCATTAAAATAAAGTAAAATGTTACAGCAAGGAAGAACAAATACATCCCAAATAGAAATACTATTAATGCTTCAAAGTATTCAGGAAGCTATGACAAGGAACCATAGGGAGATGATGGAACTGATGCACGATACAGATATAAGACCAGGAAATCTCCAGCAAATGATAATGAAAAATGAACAAAAAATTCAGATAATAGAGGAGAATTCAGAAGTAGAGGAAAGAATAGAGGAGATAAATCAACAAATTACACAAATAGATTAAGATACAGAAGAAATAGTAATTTTTTTAAAAAAATAAAACAGGTAGATTATTTCTCAAGAGGCCAAAATGTAGAAGAGAGCAAAGAGAAAGATCCCCAGAAGGATGAAAGAATTATTGATGTGTGTTTTAGAGAGTAGACAGTGAGAGGCAGATGTGGAAGCAGAGGAAATATTTAGACTAAATATGAGTGATGTAAAGGGATACAAGATCCCAAGGAAGGAGCATGGAAGATTGATCAAAAAGTCAGTAAGAGTTGAAATACTAAAAAGGGCAAGAGATGATGGATAGATACAGAATACCTCTTAATATGGGATTTGTCTTACTAAAGATTAGAAAATAGAGTTGGAAATTAGAAATTGGGAAAATGTTATTATGCATACTATCACATAAATTACTATAATTACTATATATATGTAAATGTTAGAAATTGAAAGACTACTACTATGTATGCTTAAATGGTAAAGGGTAAGAGATGAAAATAAAGGGATGCGGTGGCTCAGTGGCTAAGACACTGAGCTTGTCGATCAGAAGGTCGGTAGTTCAGCGGTTCAAATCCCTAGTGCTGTGTAATAGGGTGAGCTCCCGTTACTTGTCCCAGCTTCTGCCATCCTAGCAGTTCGAAAGCACATAAAAAATGCAAGTAGGAAAATAGGGACCACTTTAGGTGGGAAGGTAACAGCGTTCTGTGCGCCTTTGGCATTTAGTCATGCCAGCCACATGACCATGGAGACGTCTTCGGACAGCGCTGGCTCTTCAGCTTTGAAATGGAGATGAGTGCTAGATTCGGGAACGACTAGCACTTATGTGCGAGAGGAACCTTTACCGTTACCTTTTAAGAGATGATGGATAGATACATAATACTTCTTAATATGGGAATTGTTGTATTAGGGGTTAGAAGAAAGAGGTAGAAACTAGAAATTGGGAAAACAATACTATGTACACTGCTACAAAATATAATACATTATAAGTACAATGTATATGTAAATCTTAGAAGTTGAAGGATTACTATCATGTATACCTAAACAGTATTATTATTATTAATGTATAAAGTAAATTGACCCAGACAATGTACTGTTCACCAATAAGCACTCATATATGTTAAAGAAAAAAAAACCATTAAAAAATCATAAAAAGAAAAAAGATGAGAGTTTTCTAAGTATTTTTTTCCCTGACTACTAAGCCACTGGGGGCTCCTGCCTCTCTTCTCTGATGGTTTCCTAGGCACCATTTCTTCTCTTCATTTCCCAAGGTCATCCACACATCCCAATACATCAACTCATCCTGCAACATAGGCCCATATCTAAAGAGCTCACCATTCCTAAAGAACTAATGTTTCCTTCTCCATAATCCCTGCCTATATGTTTCTCAGGCTCTCTACTAATTTAATTTAGGCTTTAGAACTAGAAGCATTGGGAAGTCAAATATCATTTTGCTTTGGAGATTCAGTTCATTTTCCTACAGCTGCCCTGCATACTACTCTTCTCTTCAGACTTCCAAAACCTTCAAAACTTCTCTGACTTTCAGACACAAACACCAAAAACACACAGCTCCCTGCAACATTTTGCCTAATTAGATGGGGGTTTTTTGGTCCATTTACTTTGGTGAGATTTTGATGATAATCCATGTCCCCATGATGGTGACAAAGGAATGAATGGTGTGGATGCCACAAGCAGCCAGTGTAAGTCCAAGGCCCACGGCAGCTGCCCCATATTTCTTGAACTTCAATCCTACAGAAAAAGAAAGGAAAAGAATTTAAGGCTGTGAGTGTGGAAATTTGAAACTTGGTAACAGCCAGATTTGTGCAACAAGTTTATTTTAACAACTTTTGGTTTCTCTGAGTGGCTTAGCTTGCTGGGAAACTCAGAGAGTTTGATTACTTTATGATTCAGTAATTCATTTTCAGGGAAAATGTGTTAAATCACTAGCTATGTACTGACAGAAGAAAAGATTTGTAGCTCAGGGTTGAACTGTAGAATCCTTGGTGTTCTCTGAGATTGATGGTTTTCTTGCAGAAGTTTTATTACCAAACTATGTAACATCATCAGCGCTGGTAATGAAATGTCTTCAAGAAAGCCACCAAGCTCAAAGAGCACCAAGGACCCCACCCTAACCAAATTAAAGCCATAATCTTTAAAAATCAGAGACTGCAGAATTCATAGGGAGAGATTTTGGCCATCCTCATTCTTCAGCATCTCCTTTTAAAACAATCCGATTATCTGGGATGGAAAAAAATATCACCAAGTTCTGACTATCTACCACTAAATTCAAGATTAAGGCCAATAGGGTGGTCTCACATGTTATATCAAATGATAATATGACTCTGGCTAGAATGATATGAAATGCAGACATTATGGCCTGTGAATCACGCTTTATGATTTAGCTTTAGGTGGCTTATTCAAAAACTTTGACATAAGAAAGCTTTGCATAATGTGTAAGCATCCCCACTGTGGTTTAATTAGCAAGCCATGGCTAAAACAAGTCTTTGCTGAACACAAATAAATCTGGCCACACTCTAGTCTTTATCTGGAATTCTTCTTATTTCACTTACTTATTTCAGACTTTATCTGGAATTCTTTTTTTTTTTTATCCCAAAACCAGATGCATCTCAAATCCCCATCTTTTAAGCTTCTGTATCGTGGGAAAACTCCTCTTTCAGGCTCTCTCCAATCAGCCCTTGAAAGTCACCAAGCTGGCCCCAAACCCAGGAGAGTTTCCAATGAAGACCATAGCTGTCTTAGCACTTACCCCTTTTCTTGAAGATGAAGCCAATGGGAATTGGGGCAAACATGAACACTGTATAAACAACCCCGACGGACGAAATTGTATCTGCCAAAAGATTCAGAGTGAAGCTAGTTACAGCAAGAAATTGTGAAAGTGCTACCATAGACAGGTCACCATGCGACATGGCGCTCCCATGTAACACCTCTCCTGCGCGAGCTGCACTGGCTCCCGGTGGTCTTCCGGATGCGCTTCAAGGTTTTGGTTACCACCTTTAAAGCGCTCCATGGCTTAGGACCTGGTTATCTACGGGACCGCCTACTACCACCAATAGCCTCCCACCGGCCAGTACGCTCTCATAGAGAGGGACTCCTCCGGGTGCTGTCAGCCAAACAGTGTCAACTGGCGGCCCCTAGGGGGAGAGCCTTCTCTGTGGGGGCACCTACCATCTGGAATGAGCTCCCCCCGGAGATAAGGAGGATCCCGGATCTGCGCACCTTCCGCCGCGCTGTGAAGACCTTCCTATTCCATCAGGCGGGCTTGGCCTAATCTCTTCCCTTTTTAAATATGTAAATTTTAATCTGTTTTTAAATTATTGGGGTGTTTTAATCTGTCTGGGCCAAAATGATTTAATTTGATTTTATTTGGTTTTTAAATTTTTTGTATCTATGTATTTTATTGTTTGGCTGTTCACCGCCCTGAGTCCTTCGGGAGTAGGGCGGTATACAAATCAAATAAACTAAACTAAACCATAAACCAGAGGTCTTCAAACTTGGCAGCTTTAAGACTTGTGGAGCATAGCTGGCTGGAGAATTCTGGGAGTTGAAGTCCACAAGTCTTAAAGCTGCCAAGTTTGAAGACCTCTGCCATAAACCATATTATCAGCCTTAAAGATGATTTTGATGAAGTGGAAAATATGATGTGATCCAGCAGTTTTGGATCACAGACAGGCATGATACAGATGTGTAAAGCAAGGAGGTTAGGGAGGTCTTGCATCCAATGATTCGGATCTTGATGCAAGGATAAGGGGCTATTATTTTAATGCAATTATACACAATAGAATCAAAGAGCCATGCTGCCCTCCCCCTCAAAAAAATTGAAACACAGTGTGTGGTTACTTTAATCTGTGACCACTAGATGTAATTATGAGCTACAGATTTTGATAATTTTTAAAGTGAGTTAATGAGTCTCTGTCACTCTGAATTTGGTTCTAGGTTAGCCATGCTTCCATCCATGTTTTTCTTGACAATTCTAAGAAAGGAGTTGCCTTCATCTACTTCTCAGATGATCTTCAACTTCCCCAACTTTAAACTTTGAGTTGGAGAACAGAATAACAGAGTTGGAAGACAGCTTGGCTGTCTCAGGAATTCTGGGAGTTGAAGTCCACAGGTTGTAAAAGGGCCACAGTTGCCCACCCCTGTTCTAGTCCAATCCCGGGCTGAAGCAAGAAACCCTGCAGGAAACACTATTTCCGACAAATACCAAGACCGAGTGGCTGTGGCTTCCGGCGTCCCGATATAGCCAGCTGACGCCATCGCTGGCTATTGGGGGCGAATCACTCGCCCCCACGGAGAGGGCTCGTAACTTGGGCGTCCTCCTGGACGCACGGCTGTCGTTAGAAGTTCATTTGGAGGCCGTGGCCAGGGGGGCTTTTTATCAGGTCCGCCTGATACGCCAGTTGCGCCCCTTTCTAGATCGGGACTCCCTACGCACAGTCACTCAGGCACTCGTCACTTCCCGCCTGGACTACTGCAACGCTCTCTACATGGGGCTCCCCCTGGGGTGCACCCGGAGGCTCCAGCTGGTCCAGAACGCGGCCGCGCGGGGGATTTTGGGGGCGACGAGGCGCTCCCACGTGACACCTCTCCTGCGCGAGCTGCACTGGCTCCCGGTGGTCTTCCGGGTGCGCTTCAAGGTGTTGGTGACCACCTTTAAAGCGCTCCATGGCTTAGGGCCGGGGTACTTACGAGACCGCCTTCTGCCACCAATAGCCTCCCACCGGCCAGTACGCTCGCACAGAGTGGGCCTCCTCAGGGTGCCGTCCGCCAGACAATGTCGGCTGGCGACCCCCAGGGGGAGAGCCTTCTCTGTGGCGGCGCCCGCCCTCTGGAACAACCTCCCCCCAGAGCTACGTACAATAACAGACCTCCGGATTTTTCGTCGGGCCCTAAAAACCCATTTATTTCAACTAGCTGGGCTGGCTTGAGTCAAATTTTAAACGGATTTTAAATTGGAATGTTTTAATTATGGCCAAAATTATTTAATTATTTTAAACAGTTTTTAGATTTTGTATGTTTTGTATGTATGTCTTGTTTTTACTTTGGCTGTTCACCGCCCTGAGTCCTACATTGGAGAAGGGCGGTATAGAAATTTAAACAAACAAATAAATAAATAAATAAATGGTTGTGCAATCTCTTGTTAAAAACTTCCAGTGTTGGAACAGCCACAACTTCTGGAGGAAAGTTGTTCCACAAATTAATTGTTCTAACTGTCAGGAAATTTCTCCTTAGTTTTAGGTTGCTTCTTGATTGGTTTCCACCCATTGCTTCATGTCCTGTCTTCTTAAAGTGCTTTGGAGAATAGCTTCACTCCCTCTTTATTGGAACTGTGCTATCATGTCACCCCTAGTCCTTCTTTTCATTAAACTAGACATATACCCCATACATCTATTAGAGAGAACATTATAGAGCAGTGTTTTCCAACCTTGACAACTTTAAGATATGTGGACTTCAATTCTCAGAATTATTCTGTTAGAAATGTTATGAGGAGTGAAGGTCAGGAAGAGAGGCGAACAGCTAAAAAGGAAAAGAATGCAGCTAATTCAAAGCTAATTGCCAAAAGCAGAGTTTGTGAGGGTTACAAGTTAAGCAGATTTCAAGAGAGCAGACATGATTGAAGTCTCCTCCTGCAGCTTATGGAAATATGCTGTCCCACCCTGGCTACACTCCAGGTTTGTCTGTGAACAAATATTTTTCCTCTTGGCCTCACTGCCTTTTGCAGCTGGAATGATAGAGAGCATTCTGAAGAGGTGGATGGCATTGTCAGGAAGGGTCAATAATTTTTCTTTTGGGAAATGGTGCAGGATGCTGCAAATGGCTGTCATTGTGGGCTGATTGCCAAAATGTGGTCATGTGACGGAGGGAGACATCCTGGCCATTTAAACTTCAGAACTGGATCAGAAGTACCTTTTTTTTTTTTTTTGGTGAGGGGTGAGTGTTCCATGGTAACTTTGAATGGTTGCTAAGCGACTGATCATAAGTCATTGACTCCCTGTAATTACTGATTTATTTATTAGTCCAATGTTTCTCAACCTCAGCAACTTTTAAATGTGTAGAGAATTCTGGGAGTTGAAGTTCATACATCTTAAAGTTGCAAAGTGTGAGAAACATTGCACTGACCAGATTGTTTGCCTATCCAAAAATGAGGCAATGAATAGCCAAGGAAAAGGAACCCATTTTAAAATGCCTCCCACTTCACAGACCAATTTATGTGGATTATAAAGACTCTCAAGCTATACTCAAACTATCCCAAGTGATTTTTTTCATGAACAGCTGGAGAATTACAGATAGTCCTCGACTTACGGCCACAACTGAGCCCAAAATTTATGTTGCTAAGTGAGACAGTTCTCAAGTGAGTTTTGTTCCATTTTCTTGCCACAATTGTTAAGTGAATCACTGCAGTTGCTAAGGTAGTAACACAGGCTGTTAAGTGAATCTGGTTTCCCCATTGATTTTGCTTGCCAGAAGGTTGCAAAAGGGGATTTTATGAACGCAGGACACTACAGCTGTCATAGATATGAGTCATTTGCCAAGCGTCTGAATTTTAATCCCATGACCATGGAGATGCTGAAATGGTTGCAAGTGTGGAAAATGGTCATAAGTCACTTTCTTCAGTGCCGTTGTAAACGAACTGTTGTAAGCCGAGGATTACCTGTACAGAATGATCCAACCAAAGGAATTCATCTCAAACTAACCCAGATTGAACAGAGAGAAGTCAATATCTGACTTGGAGGAAAACAAATTCTTCACATATACCCTACTTCCTTCCTGGAACTTTCAAGAAACACCTGGCATCTAAATGCTTGTACTGTATCACCATGGCTATTTTTATTTCCAAATGTTCTTGCAGAGTCACTTTCACTTTCTAATTCCTGTAAGCAGTGCTAAACAACCTGAAGTCCTGAATCAGCACATAACCCCTTTAATCAAGCATCAAATTTCAGCAAGAAAACCATGAGCCCATATATATAGGCATTTTGTGTTATTTTTAAGAGATGATAAGTTACTAAAATTGTTTAATAACTTGTTGGGATGAAGGTGGGAAGTCAGTCATGTCTTTATTTTTTTTCTTTTTGTTTACTATATTCTTTTCAATTCCCCTATTCTTTTTGGTACCTTCTAGTGTTTCTTTTTATTCTTTTACTGTTCTAATTATAATCTTTAATAAAATTACTATAAAAGCAGCATAGTTAGAGCTTCTCAAACTTTCTTAGCTCTAATCCCTTAGATAAGGTAAAATGGGGCGAAACTCACTTACCCAATGTCTCACTTAAGAACTAAATTTTAGGGCTCAACTGTGGTGGTATGTCTAGGACTATATGTATATAGTACTAGAAGCCATACCAAGTCATCGACCAGTCAGCTCCAATAATTCCTTTCAAAATGAAGAGTTAATAGGATATATATATATGTAAAAAGTTATATATATACCCTATGCAATGTCCATCTTTCATACTTTGTTAAGCCACTAGGATTGCCAACTTCAGCTGAGGCCAGTTCTGGAGATTTGCCAGAGCCCTGTAGGCCTCAAATAACTCAAATAACAAAACAGAAAGTGAGAATGGAAGCATGGACAAAAGTGAAAGTGATATTTTCATCAATGCCCAAAGGTCAAACAAGAATGTAAGTACAAATAAAATATGAAAATGATAGTAACTAATGTTATGCAATGGAGATGATGGAAACCAGTGGTGGGTTGCTCCCGGTTTGCCCCAGTTCGGGCAAACCGGTAGCGGCGGCGGCAGGCGGCTCCGCCCCCCAGACATCATCAAAAACCCTCTGCGCATGTGCAGAAGTGCCACATGCTCGCTTGGAAACCAAACAAAGTGCAGATTAATCTACTCATTTTTTCAAGGCTGCATAAATAGTCTTCATGCAAACTTTGGCAACAGACATCTTCCTTCACCCAAAACTCCCTTTCAGCCTCAGCCCCCCCCACCCCATGCTCAATTAAAGGTGGTAGGGGTGGAAGGAAAATTATTCAGTGTCAACTCCCTAAATTTTTTTTATTTATCCCAGCTCTTAAACCTCCTTATTAGCATTCAGTGTGTTATTACTCTTCCTGGGAGAGAAAGGGAGGGTAACAGAAGGAATGTTACATATAAGCAACCAAAAGACAGAAGATAAGTGCATTGGCAGTTTATCATAGACAGGGGAAACTAAATTCAAGTGGTAAAAAGCTCAAGAAGAAATAATTCAATTCCAAAAGTTTCTGCCTTAATATGCTCACGAGGTTGGGAAGCTCTAAGCTCTACTTTCTAAGACTCTGTATCTAGCCTCAAAGTAGCACTAGACTCAACACTTACAATCCAAATTACTTAAATTGTTGCTTCCCGATCTTGCCCCATTGTGTGGGACCCCAGCTTAATGTTACTGCTGCTACAATTACTGTAGCATCTTCTTCCTTTAGTTTATGGCAATCGGTTGGAATGAGTAGCAATCAGGGTCACCCCCACAAAAAGCCAGCAAAGCTAAGCCCAGCCACTCGGTTTTCTTGCTCACCTTCTGTCAAATGGCGCCACAAATTTGACCACGCGTTGCCCATCTTTGCAGTGTGGATTACGGGTGACTGGCCGGATCGCGAGCGTGAACACAGCCACCTCCTGCCAAAGTTTACTTAGAAAGCGATTTTTATTTAGCATACGGGAGGAGAGAAGGGAGGGACTGCAACCACAGGGCGTGTCGTCTATTTTTCCGATTCTGGTCGTGAACTCAGTCCGGAAAAGCAAAGAACGGGAACAGGCTAGCTCAGGGTTCTCCAACCTTGGCAACTTTTAAGACTTGTGAACTTCAATTCCCATAATTCCTCAGACAGCTTTGCTGAGAGCTTCAATTCTGGGAGAGCTTCAAAGTTGCAAGGTTGGAGACCTCCGGGCTAGATGTCATATCTTGCAAGCTTAGAGACACGTGTAGGCATGCATACAGATGGATAAACAGAGACTGTGTAAGTGTCCTCAGGAAGGCCACTGAATGTCGTTTCTTTAAAAAAAAAAAAACTCATAAAGGCACAAATTACATCTATCATCTTGGGAGGCTGCTGCTGTAGTATTAACACAACTTTCATTAATTATCTCGGGGTTTCCGCTCTTCTGCACCAATTAACTCTCGAGCCAAACCCGACGAAGCGAGACAGCGCGTTCAAACCTGTCCGTCGAAGGCCACCGTATCGGCGCTTTTTTTTTTTAAACGCCGCCAATAGTATTCTGGGAAATGTAGTAATTGGTGCATAAACCAGATAATCCCATAAATAAGAAGTAATTAATGATTTGATACAGCAGGCGAAATCGGATGCCTGTGCTGTCTGTTCCTTTGGGGGAGCGGCTTCTTCTTATCTAATCTGACCCATACTAACATGTTTAATTTTTAAAATATATTTGCTAATTTTTGTCAAAGTGCTTGTTTGTATGGACTTTCTATCTATATCTATCTAAATGTTTGTATGGACTTTCTATTTATGTTAGAAAGTCCATATTTTGGATAGAGAGGACCACTGGTTTGAAAGAGGGGTAAAAGAATCCATCTGTGTTAGAACTGAACACCCCTCCCTTACAGAAGGGGAGAAATAAGACACCACCTGTCTCTAGCCCTTGCAGAAGTTCCAAGAAGATTCCACAACCATTCCACACCCTGATTCAGGTGACCCTGAAGGCACTGATAAACCCCCAAGTAGCTTCAACAGCTCTCAGAGAGCGTGCTAATGGCAAGATGACTGCAAAGAAATGCAATCCTTCCACCATCCTGTCAGAATCTGTCCTTCCATCCCCTCACCATCCAGTCTCGATTGACAGTTCCTATTCTTCAATCCCCCCCAGTCATCAGAACCGATGAAGCTGCTTTGATGAGAAGTGAAACATTTTCTTCTTCCTCCTCAAGGAAAAAATAGTCCAGTTGCAATTTAAAGAAAAAAAATAACCTTGCTTGGAGACATACCGACATTGAAATACATATGCAGTGTTCCAGATAAAATGTTCCTGTACATACTGTACTGATTAAAAACAAACACGTCGTGGTGTGTATCTCTGACTCTTATAAGAACAATTTTAGCACTCTGTCCATTCTTCATATTTGCTGATTTATTCTTCAACACTTTAAAAATATTTTTTGTAAACTATTTAAGCCATTGTGCAAATGCGCATTCATATTGAAGCAGTATGTCCATGTAAAGAGCAGTATGTCCATTTACCCAGGCCCCTACCCACTGCAGTTAAATAATGCCTGTCATGTAAAGCAGTGATGGATTTCAAAAAATTTTACTATTCTGTGGGTGTGGCTTGGTGGGTGTGACATGTCTTGGTGGGCATGGCTTGGTGGGCGTGGCAGGGGAAGGATACTATAAAATCTGCATTCCCACCCCACTCCAGGTAAAGGTTACTGAAAAATCCCTATTTCCTCCCAATCAGCTGGGATTTGGGAGGCAGAGAATAGATGGGGGCGGGGCCAGTCAGAATTTTTACTATCGGTTCTCCGAACTACTCAAAATTTCCGCTACTGGTTCTCCAGAACTGGTCAGAACCTGCTGAAACCCACCTCTGATGTAAAGGTAGTCCTTGTTTATTCATCACCTTTCAGACTTGCAATAATTATTAAACGAAGTGGTCACTAAATGAATCCACTTCTGTGCTTAAAATCTTAAAACCTTTAAAGACCTTTACAGCAGGGGTGAAATCCAGCAGGTTCTGACAGGTTCTGGAGAACCGGTAGCAGCAATTTTGAGTAGTTCGGAGAACTGGTAGCGGAAATTTTGAGTAGTTCAGAGAACCATCAAATACCACCTCTGGCTGGTCCCAGAGTGGGGTGGGAATGGAGATTTTCAATATCCTTCCCCTGCCATGCCCCACAAGCCACGCCACGTCCCCAAGCCACTCCCCCAATTGATTTTCACCACTGCTTTAGTCACAAAGTTACTTTGTCTTCACTGATGTAACTGTGAACAGTTGTTAAACAACTGCTGTTAGAATGTGCAGTCTATAAACAGAGATGGATGGCCTCTTCCTTTGTCAAAATGTAAATAAATCAGTTGTTATATTTAACTTTCAGCAGAAGAACTATGCTTAGGTAGCATTTGGTGTTGCCAATATAGAGGTATCCTGTATTTTCACAGCCCTGACCAGCTAACTTCTATATACAGCAACTTTTGACAGAAATTAGTCAATCAATCAATCAATCAATCAAAATAGACTGGAAGGGAATATTGGAAGGGACTATTGGAGGTTTCTAGTCCAGCCCCCTGTTCAAGCAGGAGATCCTATGCCATTTCAGACAAGTGACTGTCCAGTCTTTCAAAAACTTCCAATGATGAAGCACCCACAATTTCTGAAGACTTTGATGCAGTTTTACTAAGGAGTTTAGAACTCATCATAAGCAGAATGCTCTTTCTCAAAGGATCAAGGCCACCCAAGTTTTATATAGTTTGTGAACGGACAAAATGTTCCCCTGCTCCCAATTCCTTGAATTAAAACAAACAACAACCAATTGAATAGAATTGCTTATTTGTAACAGGGGTGGGTTTCACTTACCTTTACTACTGGTTCGCATTGTACCCGTGCAGGCAGATCACTTATGATGATGTCCGGGTCAGTGGACGGAGAGTCCCGCCGGTTTTACTACTGGTTCTTGCGAACCGATCCAACCCGGGGGCAACCCACCGATTTGTACCCTATGATTATCATTAAGTGTTGTACCTTATGATTCTTGACGAATGCATCTTTTCTTTTATGTAAACCGAGAGCGTATGCACCAAGACGAATTCCTTGTGTGTCCAATCACACTTGGCCAATAAAGAATTCTTTTCTGTTCTGTTCTGTTCTGTTCTGTTCTGTTCTGTTCTATTCTATTCTATTCTATTCTATTCTATTCTATTCTATTCTATTGAATCTTCTAGAAATACTGCACTGTATGGAGGTGCCCACTAGTATACCTACTGGATAGCGAACATTGTATACAAGGTGAAAAGCAAATTGGGTAGCAAATAGGTTTCTTCTCCTACAGAGAAATATCTCAGAGGTTGCCATAAATTACTTCATGGTACCATCAGTCCTTAAATTGCCACCAATAAATCATCAGATGGACATGCTTATATATTTCTTGCTGAATAAATGTGATAAATGCATCTTGTCAGAGCTGTGTGATGACTGATAAAATATTTTTATATTTTATCTTACAGGGAATGTAAAGTAAGTGTTTGAGGGGGTGAAATTCTGGTCACTTTTGCAGCTCAATATGTGGAGACTAATTATTTTGACAACAGGATGGGTGTTACCTAGATAGCTCCTGGTGGGGTGGGATGGGGTGGAGTGCTCAGCCTGCATTTCTGCTCCAAGCAACACAAATCTTTGTCTCCTCTACATTTTGTGTCAGGCAACATGTGGCAATACAATTGCCTGTGCAGGTTGTCTTGGTGTCATGTGGTTGGTGGCAGTCATGAAGAATTATCATCAGAATTAGTATTATCCAGTGCAGAGTAGAAAGCACTCTAGCTTGTCCTTATTTCACAGTTATGGATGGGGAGGGTAGCAAGAGCTGAAGAAGGAAGCAGCAACTTTGAACCCCAGTCCAGCTTTGATACCCTGTCCCAATGTGTGCATGATATCTGGTTAGATAATCCTGGGAGTGGTGTAACCCTGATTTAGGCATTATTTAAGATCCTGACCTCAGCCATGTTTGTGTCTTGACCTCAGCCATGCTGCTTCAGCATCTAGCCCACTCAGTCCCCATCACCTCCCCATTTGGGTTGTGATCCTTGTCATCTAAAGCAGTGATTCTCAACCTTTTCTTCACCACCGATCAGGGGTGAAATCCAGCAGGTTCTAACAGGTTCTGGAGAACCGGTAGCGGAACTTTTGAGTAGTTTGGAGAACCAGCAAATACCACCTCTGGCTGGCCCCAGAGTAGGGTGGGAATGGAGATTTTGCAATATCGTTCCCCCAGGAGGGAAGGGAATGGAGATTTTGCAGTATCCTTCCCCTGGAGTGGGGTGGGAATGGATATTTTGCAATATCCTTCCCCTGCCACACCCACCAAGCCACGTCCACAGAACTAGTAGGGAAAAAATTTGGATTTCACCCCTGCCACAGACGCCCTTTAAATGTCCTTAGTGGCCATGACTATGGCCACAGATCACCTAGGCTTAACTCAAGATTTAAATCATAGAATTTTTTTTCCAAGCCTTTATGGTTCCTCTGTAAGATCGTGGCCCCTCGGAGGTCTGTGGACCACCGGTTAAGAACCATAGATCTAAATTGTTACCCATCTCTACATTTCCAAGTAGTCCTCGACTTACAACTGTAATGGAGCTTTCCCGTTACAGGTAGTCCTCGACTTACGAATACAGTGGAGCCTGCCCATTACAAATAGTCCTTGACTTACAACCATAATGGAGCCTGCCCATTATGGTCACAAATTGCAATGGCCATTAAACAAGGCATCCATGTGACTGCCTCACATAAAGAATCCAATCCCTAAAATCCCTACCACAGGCCCAGGCCCACTGTGGTACTTCCCCCAACTCACACTTGGCTGCCCAGGCCTCCCAAATTCTCCCCCATCCCAAGGTACCCCTTGCCCCACTTCCTGCCCCTTGGGATCCCTCAAAGGCCTTGGGCCTGCTTCCATGCCAATGGGCCTCAGATCCTCCTTCCTACCAGTCACGTACCTTTTACTATAGATCTTTTGGAATAGCCATTGCATTGTGCAGCCTTCCTACACAGTGGGGGCACTGTGGGAACTCCATCCCAAAAGTTGGTGTCAATTTGGGAGTGGCTACAATGAATTTTGGCCACTCTGAAATGGCACCCACTTCCAGAATGGAGCCACACAACCTGTGGAGAGGCTAAGGCAGGGGTCGGCAACCCGCAGCTCTCGAGCTGCATGTGGCTCTTTCATCCCTCTGCTGCAGCTGTCACTCAAAATATATGTCACAACCACCAATTTGCGACACCTGCCGGCACACGATTTATTGAGCTTTTCGACCCCCCCAGTAGGCCAACCATGGATAAATCCAATAAAAGTTTCAGAAGAAAACAGAACGCATAATGGTACGTGGGCAGGTTCAATTGCTTTCACTGCTGACGAGACTGGTTTACCAGTATGCTTAATGTGTTAAGAAATTGGCGAACAGTGCAGTGTTATCTTCATTTTAGATATCAAAAGTGTTTTGTGGCTCCTGGTGTTTTCTTTTCTGTTTGAAAATGGGTCCAAATGGCTCTTTGAGTGTTTAAGGTTGCCGTCTCCCAGGCTAAGAGATGGAGTGATCTACTCTCCTTCCTCTGGAGATGGCATTGGGGAAGGAGAACAGGCTGCCCTGCCCCTTGGCCATAAATTGAAGGCTTCCTGTGACTGTAATTTGGACATTCTAGGACATTTCCACGTATAAGAATTCAGATATCCAAATGGAACAAGTTTCCCCAGGTTACTAAAAAATTACTCTGCAATCCTGCATGCAAAAGAGCATTTCCCAATTAATCAAAATCAGAGAACAATCCGTTCCTAGGATTCTTTCTACAGAGAGCATAATTCAAGATCAGCGTCAATGCTGGAGGAATCTTGCTGGAAAGAAGAAAATGCTGGAGATATCTTGTCATCGGCCACTCCCAAATTAAAGCAGCAAAAAGCTGCCTTTTCAAATTTCTTCCATGGCTGCAAATTATCATTCTATTGATTTTATACGCTCCGATAGTGAGTAGGAGGTAGAAGGAAGTAGGATAATTGTTTTAGGAACAATACTTCAATGCTGTACCCAGGGAAGTGTGCGTAATTGTAAAACCATGCAAATATAAAAAATCCACTTTAATACGTTTGTTTTGAAAAGTATAAGCAGCTTCAGGAATGAAAGCACAAACAAGTGTTTGAAGTAGGGCTTTTTGGAAATCATTATTGTTATGTGGTATACACTATCAATCTAGCCATTTCCTCTTACAAATATATGAGCTTGCTTTCCGTCTTCTCTGTCCATCACACCCTTGAGTGCAGATTTATATATTATTCGGGTGTGAGGATTATGTGTTAAGCAATCCAGAAGCTTTGGTAAGAAAAGCATTAAATGTCCATCAAAATATTCTGATGGGATCACCTTATAACTGTGATGGCGACACACATGTCACAGGTGGCATGCAAAGCCCTCTCTGCAGGCACGCCAGCCATCGCCCCAGCCCAGCTCCGCCGCGCCTGTGCCTCCCACCAGCTGGCACATGCGCAGGGGGTGCAGGTCCAAAATGGAGCGTGGGACGCATGCGCAGGGGTGTGTGTGCTCGGACTGCATTTTGGGGATTCAGGCACACGCGCGTGCATTTGCATACAAGTGTTTTGGGCACTCAGCACCAAAAAGGTTAATCATCACTGCCCTATAACCAGCAAGATGGAGAACCCGAGATGAATTCAGCTTGGTGAAGGAGTAGTTCTGCTGGCTTTCAGGAAAAGGAAGGCTGAGCTGAGAAGTACGCAAGATCTCAGTGGGGTTTGAGCAAGACAAAAATTGCAATGCATATCGGTTATATATACTGGATTTACTGAATGAGTCAGAGAAGTGTGATAGTTGAAAGAAACTAGAACTGTTTCACTGTACAGAGGATGGTTAGCTCTTTGGGAAGAAGACGACACTTGAAATCCAGCTCCTTATAGTAAGGGCCAGGAGACTTCTCAAATTCAATGTGTATTTTCTGCTGCTTTGTTCAGCACCAGCAAGGTGTAACTGTGCAAAAAACTAATGTTTTTGTTTCTTTTTTTTTAACAAAAACAATTTTATTTTCCAAGTACCTTCCAATAAAATACTAGTTTGGACCAAAAATAATGCAAACACAAGCAGGTTCGTGTACAGTTTTCCTTAAGACATAAACGTATTACCTGAGCAATAATTTTTCTGGTAGCTAATATATTTGTTTATGTTTTGCAAACTAAAATCCACCTTTTTATACTCAGTGTACACATTTTAGGTTCCATAAGACACAGCCCTATATGCCCTAAAAAGTTTTAAAAAATTTTCAGCCCCAAATATCATGGCTAAAAAAAATCAAACATGCATTTGTTCCTTATATTTAACAGTAACATACTTAAATATGGCAGTCTTTGTGTGCAACATCTGATTTCTTTACTAGTTCACCAGCCCCACCTGTACCTCTATATTAGCAAACTAATCTTTGTGTTTCCATCACTTTTGTGTAACAGGTTCCAGCCCTGTAAAAATCTGCTTACATTCCAGAATCTCACCTCTGTGAGCAACAGGGTCACTGATTCAAGATTTTGTGAGATCTAACACATTTTTGCACATCTCTCTGTACAAGTGATTGAAAACACTTGGATGGAGCTTTTTTTGTTAAATCTTAGCATTTCTATATAATTACCAAATCTGAGTTGCCAAAATCTGGATGATCATTGGATGGAAGCTGCCTTCTAATGACCATCCTAATTTTTGCAGCTCAAATATGACAGCCTTACCTCTTATCTACCCAAAGACAAAGTTCCAAATTCACCCTTTCAAGAAATCTCATTATATATGCAGATATTTTCAAGGCTACTATGACATTTAAAGAAAATAAAAATGACAGTGAAAGTTGGGGATCAGTTAGTTACAGAATGCGTATTACAGAACTAAAAATCCTACTGGTTAAAGAACAGAGAATGTGTGATCCTTCAGATGCTATGCAGTTATAGTATATATTCCATTGCCTATAATATTGTTATATTTGGCTGGAGTTCCGTAACAGCCAGTAGGGTGTAATTCCTTTACCCTATCCCCGTGATGGCGAACCCTTGGCACATATGCCAGAGGTGGCATGCACAGCCTTCTCTGCAGGCAGGCACGCGCGCCATCGTCCCAGGTCAGATCTCCGTGGCGTTTCTTTCGTGAGCTTGTTTCCCTGCAAACAACAAAACAGAAGCTCACAAAAGAAAAAGATCTTACCTTTTGCCGAGCTGCCGGTGTTGGGATGCCCTGCCTCCTGCCGGCCAGATGTCCGTGCATGCCCGTGCATGCACATGTGTGCGCACCTTTCAGTTTGGGTATGTGTGCGGGTGCAATTTGCAAATTGCATGTGCAATTTGGGCACTCGGTGTCTAAAAGGTTCGCCATCACTGCCCTATCCTATAAAATGGCTGAGGTTTGGACTTAAAAATAAATGAAAAGAAAAACAAGACTATAGAGGAGTCAGAAGATTCCTAAACTTTATGGAAGTAGAGTGAAAGCTAGAAAGAAAACCTAACAAAAGAAGAGGATCAGAACAGTATTTCTCAGCTTCAACAGCTTTAATATGGATGGACTTCAACTCCCAGAATTCCCTAGTGAGCATGTGGGATGAAGTCCATAGATTTTAAAATTGCTGAAACACTGAGTTAGAAGTTAAGATCTAGAGAAGTTTTCTTTTCTCAGAATCCCCTGGTGTTGAGTAGAATAGCCTAGGTGGCAATATTTTTAGGCTTTCTAAATCATTTGTCACAAAGCAGACCAAAAGTAGGGATTTCCAAGTTCCGTCTCGGATTACTTCCTTCAATCCCCATTTACAGTCATGACATATATCAAAACTAGACTTACACAGTTTGATTTGTTCCCTTAGCCTCCGGGGCCTATGGTAGCGTTCCTTGCTGTGGGTATACGGCAACATCAACTTTTGCCCTCTCATTCCTGTTGCTTGGGATTCTGTGGAGAGCCCTGTTTATCTTTTGGGGAGCTCCATTTCCTCTGGATCCCCAACACTGTTCCCAGCAGGAAGAAAAACACAGCTCCCACATGGACGCAGTAATAGACTGAGCTCCAATAGCGAATGGTATCCTCAAAGGTAAGCAACACAAAACCCATACACATGTAGTCATAGGCCCTCATCTTCAGGAACCACTGTATCCAGTCACCCCAAAGACGCCCAGATGGGGAGAGGTGCTTCAAGAATCCACTCTCCATGGCCCCCTCAGCTGCTAGGCAGAGCGGGATGGTAAGGAAGCTGATGTAGTACCCAGGGTGGATCCCATGCCAGTAGGCTGAGATAAGCATTGTCCAGGCACTCCTAAAAAGAAGATTCTGATCAGTTCTATATTCATCCCCTCAAAGCAATCCAAGCACCCACCTATCCCAAAATTCCTCATATCCCCCCTGATCATTCCCAACTCATGGCTCTTCTTAAATTTCGCTCAGTCTTTCACAACCTACAGTGTGGGACTTCCACGATCCCAGTCAAACTATGCTGGCTTGAGAACAATGGGAGTTGAAACCTAGCACCTCTAGAGCAGGGGTCCCCAATACCGGGGCCATTACCGGGACGTGGCCTATTTGCAACCAGGCTGCACAAGTGGTGAATTGTTCAAATTGTGCAAATTGAGCTGAGCATGCATGTGTGTGCGTGCCGGCCCACCGCTTGTGCAAGTCGAGCTGTGCGTGCATGCCAGCCCACCTCTTGTGTGGCTCAGTTTCCCTCTCTCCCCCACCCTCCACTGTGCCGCCAAGCCACAAAAGTTGGGGAGCTCTGCTCTAGAGTACACAAAGGTGGGAAACAATGATTATGCAACTTTTTAAAAATTTATTAACTGTCTATACTACCCATCTCACCTGGATGAGTAGTATATCCATCCAGGTGAGCCTCAATCAGCCTCATAATCCATATAGCCTCGGTCAGTCTCATAATCCTGTAGGGTTTACTTCAAGAGCGTAGATTTTCATAAATCACTTAGATTTTCTGATTTATTCTTTCTTTGATGGCAGATCACTACTTCATCTCTTCCCAAATCTGCCTAGTGTTCACCCTGAGCACTTCCTGTCCCAGAATCCTTGTCCCACAACATGATTTCTACGACTCACTCTCATGGCAACCCAACTGACCTCATGCCACCCAATTCATCAGCCTATCATTTCATCCTCAAAGACTATTTCTTGCCCAGAATAACACTTTATTTGAACCCGATGTCGCTTGCCGCACCTCATGACATAGGAGTGGAAAGGTGCACTTTTGTAGATGTATTGTGCCAACCACCACTGGACAGTCATGTTCCAATAGCGCATGCCATCCTTTACTTTGACACAAAAATCTGTCCCATGCGGATCAATGTTTTTGACCGTCTCATAATCATAGGCAACACTGGATGCTTCTCCGTCAGCTGATCTGCTTGCAAGAGAAGAGAAAAATCAATTCCTTCATGTATTTTTAATGTCCAGAACTGTTCTAAAAATGTTTTTTGTATGGGGCTGACCCAGGGGTGGGCTTCAGATCCTTTAGCAATGGGTTTGCTGGCTCTTTGCTGGGTGGGTGTGGCCATGGTCTAGTCGGTCGCCTGTACCACGTGGTGGGGGGAGAGGTGTTTTTCGCCCTCCCCAGGCTCTGGAGGCTTTCTTTGAGCCTCCGGGAGGGCGAAAACAGCTTCCCCCGGGGTCTGGAGGCCCTCTGGAGGACAGAAACAGGCCCATTTCTGGAATTCTGGAACCTCCGGTAGGCCTATTTTTTGCCCTCCCAGACCCTCCGCACAGCCCTTGCACTTACCTGGAATGATGAATGGGCCACATGGAGACTCTTGGGCGTGGTGGGAGGAGCAGGGTGGGGTGGGTGTGGCCAGCCAGGGGTGGCATATGGGGGTTCGCCGAACCCTGGCAATCCTTGGCTAGAGGATCGCCCAAACCCTGCTGAACCCCCAGGAGCCCACCCTTGGGCTGACCTTAAAAATGTCAATTAGTCTGTTAACAGAAGGAATCTGGCAGTATCTTTTCAAACAAATTAATTCTGATGGGGACTATCATAGACTAATGCAGCACTCCTCCTACTGGGTTCAATAATGGGGCAACCCTACCATCTGTTTTGAACCCCTTGTGGTTTGGAAGGCAAAATGGTATAGACACACACAAAACAAAAATCTGTAAGTTTATACTCAGCTATTTAGAATCACAGAGCTTTTAGGGACCTTGAAGGTCTTTCAGTCCAACTCTCTGCCCAAGGCAGGAGCCTTCATTTTTCATGGGGTATTCGTAAGTGCAAACAAGTTGCCATGTGCCTGAAATATGGTAATGTGACTGTGGGGGTGGGTAGGCGAGTGGGTGCAAGGCAACATTTTACAACAGACAGAAGTGTTTTACAGACTGCCAAAACATCAAATGGTTGTTTAATGACTAGTCATAAATCAAGGATTACCTGTAGTGTCATGGAAAGGTTAGCTCTGCTAAACTATGTTGCACTCTGTATTACTAATGAGTCTTTTGTTTGTGATCTTCAGACTTCTTAAAAATAGTAAATGAAGTTGTCTATACAGGTAGTCCTTGACTTACAATTGAGCCCAAAATTTGTGTTGTAAGGGAAACATTTGTTAAGTGAGTTTTGGCCCATTTTAGTACCTTCCTTGCCATAGTTGTTAAGTGAATAACAGCAATTGATAAGTTAGTAACCTGGTTGTTAAATGAATCTGGGTTCCCCATTGACTTTGCTTTTATTCAAAAGGTGATCACATGACCTCGAGGCACAGCTATGATCATAAGTATGAACCAGTTGTCAAACATCTGACTTTGGATCGCACGATCATGGGGATACTACAAAGGTTGTAACTGTGAAAAATGATCAGAAGTCACTTTTTTCAGTGCAGCTGTAACTTTGAATGGATACTAAATAAATTGTTCTATGTTGAGGACTACCTGTACATATTTGGCAGCAGGACTTAAGTTTTTACTTTTTGTATGATCTAAAAGTAAATTTACTAACCTAAAGCAAATGATGCTAGTCCTGCGCAACATTGGAGGTAGCTTCTGTAAGCAGTTTTTAGCAAAACTCAAACAGGGCTAATTCATTTCATTTGTCTCTCTCTCAAGGAGTTCAGATAGCAGCTGTACCTTAATTTTGGAACAAGCAGTATTATCAGGCAAGCTAAGGGCCGGGAACTAAACCACTACTGTCCTAAGGCACATCAGCTAAGTTTCATGCAAGAATTAGAACTGGGTTCTAAGTCAGTTACAATTGTATGAACCAGAAAGGGACCAGCATCCGGAGAGAATTTGGAAATCCCATTTCCATGCTAGAATTAGTGCACTTCTTATTTGAAAAAGGAACTTCTCATGATTCCAAAATTGAACTGTAGAACTCAAACACACAAAGGCCCAATTTGTACATTTCAATGAAAAATAAAGAAAAGGTGGACAAAAAAAGCCTCTAGAAAGATCAGTGCAAAAGGTGGAATATTTTAGCTCTACTATATCTAATGAATTAGTGGTGGTTTTTATGGTGAGAGGTAGCCCAAGGAAAGCACTTCTTATGAAGCCTGTGGTAACAATTCACTGTTATTAGTGCTGTGTGGAAGAGTCTTAAGAGAAGGCAGAGCCAAGAAGAGGTTCTTGACTTACCGACTTAAAGGCTCATATTCCACTGTAGGTCCTCCACCTGACCGAGATTTGGCTGTGACTGGATAGGCACCAAAAGCAGCAGAAATGCAGGCGCACTCGGCGCAAAGCCAGGCAACATAGAAACGCATACGGAAGACAAAGAAAATGGGCACCATGTAGAAGAGGCGGAAAGGGAGTCCTCTCTCATAGAATGCATTGCTTCGGACGTAATCAAGGGGGAAGAAGTGGGAGACAACCAGGAAAAATATTCCAAAGATGGGGATCATTCTGGATCTGGAAAGCATCGGCTGCCAGCTAGGGATAACAGAGGGATCAATCTGGCTCAACCAGTCATGATACGTACGATAGCGATAAAATGGGCCTGCAAAAAACAGAAAACAATGAAATTTTAAGATCAACAAGCAGAGGGAGAAGTATGCCTGAGGAAAAATAAAACAAGTCAGAGAGACTGTCACACACACAGTTGAATTACTTAAGACACAGTTTCCATAACCCGGTTTCCTCTAGTTGTCTTCACATTATTTTCCTTAATCCAAAGCCACTTATGATGGGCCCTCCACTTATGATGGGACCAGGATTTCCGCTGCTAAGCAAGGCAGTTCTTAAGTGAGTCATGTCCAATTTCATGTCTATTTCTTGCTGTGAATCACTGAACGTATTAAGTGAAACACAAGGTCATTAAGTAACTCTAACTTCCCCCATTGACTTTGCTTGTGGAATGGATAAGCCAATGAGAAGGTCTGAAACAGGAATCACATCAGTGGTGGGTTCCTCCCAGTTCCGCCGAGCCAGTAGCGGTGATGATATGATGTCACCGAACTGGTTCTGCCCCCCCGCCCCGCGTTATTCTTACCTTTTATTTGGCCCCACCCCCAATCTATTGCTACCTCCTGAGTCCCAGCTGATGGCTAGAGGGAAAAAAACTGTTTAAACTCTTGCTGTGGGGCTTCAAAGGGCCGCCCTACAGCTGATCAGTGTTAAAAGAAAACAAATGAGTAGACTGGTGCCTGCAAAAATAAATGGGTAGACCAGTGCCTGCAAAAATACATGAGTAGACTGATGCCTGCAAAAATAAATGGGTAGACCACTGCCTGCAAAAATACATGAGTAGATCAGTGCCTGCAAAAATAAATGGGTAGATCGGTACAGCTCTGCAAGCAGTTAAAAGCCTAGTAGACCAGTACCTCTGCTAAATCCTAAATAATTGTCACATGACCATCAAGCCACCCCCACAAAATAAGCCACCCCCACAGAACCTGTAGTAAAAAATTTTAGAACCCACCCCTGAATCACATGATCCTGGGGTGCTTACTGTGTATACATGCCCATTGCCAAGCACCTGAATGAACAGTGGTAGCTCGAGAACTACTTGTAATTCAATGAAGAGTTGTGAGAGATGGTATCCAATATGTTTTGAGGGCTTCTGTTTTGGATAGACTTGACAGGTTAAGGTTGTGTGTGATTTGGGAAGCACACAGGGATTTGCTAGTTGTACAATTTTATGATTTCCTGCAGTTTCTGACAACAAAAACCTAATGCCTGGTATCTTACTTTTTGCTGTAATTTCCTGCCTTCATGTTTGCAGCAGCAGTATATGGCAATTTCTCATGAAATTCTCACAAAACAAAAAAGGAGAAGCTATAAAAGTGAAGTGTGTAGGCTAGAGAGAAGAATAGCTATTTTTGTCTAATCAGCAAGGTAGTTTCAAACACACTTCTGCAAAAAATACAAAAGGCCACAATTACACCCAATGACCAGGCACAATACCAAGAGCAAATAGGTGGCTGATATGAGAAGTAGATGAGAAGGCAAAACTGGAATGGGCTTTATAATTTTCAACTTGCTCTGATCTTTTAACTACCATTTCCTTTAAAAAGAAATTGTAACAATAAAGAGTAGTTCTTCAGCCCAATATTTTTTCTTATTCATATTTATATATATGGCGAGAAGATGCCAACATTTTAAAATGCCCATAAACCCATAAGGCTGTCAAAGGGAAGATGCATCACAGGTGTTTATACCTGTAGACATATTTCATTTTCTATTAGCCAGTTCACTTACCTGTCATAAGCCCCACGTAGCAGTAACTGTAGCACAGTATCTCCACCAACCCCGGTTTTTGAAGAACTGTACCAATCACTGGAGATTTGGTGAAGGTTGTCACTTCCTGTTTCTTCGCCTGAATGAGTTCTTGTACCTCATTGGCTAAGCTCAGCAGCTGGGAGACAAAAATTCCAGAAAAAAAAGAACCTTACTTCCTCTTCAAGCTAAACACTCTTCCTTCTCAATATCCCAAAAATAGCCTGATACCTTAAGAGTGAGCAAAAGTTGCACAGCATTGGTGAATGGTGTTGGCTCTGGATAGTTGAAATAAGTAACTGTGCGGAAAAAAAGTAAGTAGGAAAATGTCCATCCCAATGTCAGGTGATGACAAGCCCTGTTTTTTTTTTAAAAAAAAGAAGAGAGGTTATAATTATTAATCCCATTTCTACATCAGTTTCAAAAGCATACATGGGTATCCTTGCATGACTGTCCCACATACACTAACCACACATCTAACCCATTGTTTCTCAACCTTGGCTACTTTTAAGATGTATGGACTGCATCTCCCAGAATTCCCCAACCAACCTGCTGAGATCATGTGGTGAGTGAAAACTACATGATCTGTTTCAGCCAAGTTTATTTGAAAAACACTGGGGATTGAATACTAGATCCTGCCCACTTGAGGACAGCTATAGACAGCTTTTAGAAACCAGAAATCCTAACATTGATTGGGTTCAAGCATTAAAGATGTGTTTTGTTTGGTTTTGGTTTAGCATAGTCTGCAAAAATAGGGATCATGGCTTACAGTTTTATGTAAACCAAAAAATTATAACCTACCACAATTAAGCAAATAATTGCTTAGCAGAATGTGTGAATTAGTCAAAACCTAAGGAGCTGCATTTATGCAAGTTAAAAAAATCCAAGCACCATTTATTGCTCGTAAAGGCATTACAATCATTAAAAACAAATGAGGGAAAGAACTGTCTGACCAAAAAGGCATCAAGAACAGATGGTGAGAATATACAGAATAGCTGTAAGCAGGTAGCAAAGGGGCCCAGTCTCAGAATGATGAGGAAAGAGAAGTAGAAATAGAACTGGCCAGTCTTGAGGAAGAAATCACGTAGGCAATGAACCAACTGCCAAACAATAAGACACCAGGTGTTGACACTATTCCTACAGAATTACTGAGATCTGCACCACCCACCGACATTAGAGAACTGTGCCGGAAAATTTGGGAAACCAACATGTGGACACAGGATTGGAAACGCTTAGTAATTATTCCACTGCCAAAAAAGGATGATTCTAAAGATTGCTCCAATTGTAGCACAATTGCACACATCCCTCACATCAGCAAGATTCTGCTTAAAATTATACAACAACGTATAGCACCAACCATCAGATTGGAATTACCAGATGTGCAATGGCTTTCGAAGGAGTCATTTTGCAAATCTACACTAGATCATGGAAAAATCTCTTGAATATCAAAATATCAAGTGCTTCACTGACTACAAGGAACCCTTCAATTGTGTTGATTGTGATAAGACACTATGGAGAGCTCTACGAGATCTGAGGACATCAGCACATCTGGTCAAGTTGGTGCAATCACTGTACACAAATCAGGAATCCACTGTGTGAACACCATATGCATCAATTGCATTAAGACAATGGAGTGCAATGAGATTGCATTCTTTCCCATTCTTATTCAACCTGTTTGCTGAAATGATCATGAGGAAGCTAGATCTTTATCGTCATCTAAGGAGTTAAGGGTCTTTCTCCAAAATCCTGAACCTACCTACCTACCTACCCACACACACACAGAGGAAGGGAGGAGAGGGGAGGAGAAGAGAGCAGGGGAAGGGAGGGAGGAGAGAACAAGTTAGATTTTAAGAAAATTGGGTAATGTATAATCCCATCTTTGCTTTTTAGAGCATTTCTTTACATCTGTCAGACCATCTCACAGCCTGAATAGTTGTTATGTCACTTTACCTTGGTGAGATATTGATAATAAGCCATGTCCCCAGAATGGTGATAAGGGAATGAAGGATGTGGATCTGGCAAGTCACCAGAATAAGTGCAAGTCCTACAACAGCTGCTCCATATTTTTTGGTCTTCGGACCTATTTAAAAAAAAGAGAAACACATTTTTCCATTGTTTAAAAATGCACACACTGGGCTGTGAGTTTGTGGCATACTTTATTTGCTTGCCTGGATGTACAACCTATCCAGCTCCAGTTTTTAAGAAGCTACATCAAATAAAACTTATAAAATTGCCTATGGAGATTCTCAATCACCCAACTCATGGTTGTCCCAAAGGTGCTTTTTCCAAAAGACAACTGGACTTCCTTAGTTTTTCCTTTAAAAATGTTTCGCTCCTCATCCCAAAATCTTCGTGCATCATGGCAAATAGCCAGGAATGTATCTACAGGTAATCCTCAATGTACCACCGTAATGGAAACTGCCCATTATGGTCATAAGTCAGGATGGTTGCAAAGCAGGTCACCTATGTGACTGACCTGATTTTACAACCTTTTTTTGCAGCATTTGTTAAGTGAATGCAATGGCTTTAAAACAAACCCATTGTTTGCTGTGGATCTTTTTTGCCAAAATCTGGAAATTTCAGTTTTCAGCAAAATTGTCATAAAGTGCAAATTTATAAATCCTGTGTGGCGATGGAATGCTGCAAAAGGCTTTAAATGTGAGTCAGTGGCCAACAAACAGTTCTTTGACCAAGGGAGGGAGCTCTATGGCTGTCAGAATTTTGGAACCTGATCATAAATTCTCCTGGGGAGGGTCCCTCATAATTTGGAACGGTTGCTAAGCCACCAGTCATAAGTCTATTACCTGTAACATGCAGATCCCATGTTTTGTTATTTCTCACCATTCCCATTTAAAAGGATTGACTCCATCTCATATCCCATCTTCTCAGAGTTCCTTTGGAGATGCGTTTCTTACAACTTGCTTGCTTAAACCAGGAAGCACTTCAAGGAGCTAAAGGCAAAGCCTTCTGACATGAACCCCGGAACAGTTTCTTATGAGGTGCCTAGCAGCATTTCTTTCTCCAGGTTTTACACTTACCAACTTGCTTGAAGAGGAAACCAACAGGTATAGAGATGAGAAGGACCGCCAAGTAGACAATTTCATCAGGTGACATTGTAGCTGGCAAGAAATACAGAGTTAGGTCAATCTGCATGGATCAAAGTGAGAAATATTGGAAATATGGAGCACAGGGCAGTAACACCGCCTCTGCACTTGATTTTTGAGAAAGAAGGGAGGAAGGAGGAAATAGGAAGTGGTCTACTGGTTTTGCTTTGCATATAACTTACACGACACAGAAAAGTAAAGCAGGTAGATCAGACCACCTGAGGTTGAGAACTTAATGACAGGGAAAAGGGATTATTATTTTGATAAAAGAAATTAATAGCAAATTTAAAAATCAATACTGGCCCAAACAAAAATTTTCAGCAAAATGTGTGGTTAACTTGGAGAACCAGTTTGGTCTAGTGATTAAAGCACCAGGCTAAATACCAGGGGACTGTGAGTTCTAGTTCCACCTTAGCCAAAAAAGCTGTTGGGTAACTTTTTGTCAATCATCTTTCCCTCTTTCTCTCAGTCTACAACATCAGGCTTGGGCAACAAACTGGTTGGTCAATTCCTGTCACAACCAAGTTGATCAACACTCGGTTGGTTCAAAATAAGCAGACCTGGCACTTGTGAGAAAACATTACAAAGTAAAAATAAAAATGTGTGGTTAATTTAATTTGCACTGCGAGATATGGTGATAATTTACCTACGTAGTCATAAAGGCCAACTAAGTAGGTTAGGCAGTTACTAAAGCTTCATTCAAACTGAGGCCTCTTCTGAGGCAATCCTCCACTTCTCACTGTAGCCTACAGCTCTCAGGCTATCTAAATGTTAATCAGGACTCATCATCTTTTTGGAATCAACCAAAGAAAACCAGTTGTTGCCACTTTGCTTTGTGAGAGAGGCAAGACTTGAGAAGAAAAATCAACAGCAAATATTGCAGTCCCAACTGAGAAAGACTAAGACAGATCAATCAAGACTAGAGTGCTGATTGGTTGTCTCTCTCCTCCTCCCCCCCCCCAAAATCTCTGAGGGCTCAGATCAGCAATGAAATCTGGCAATGCTTCTTTTTATCACTTCATCTCCAGGCCTGCAAAAGTACAACATCTCCTCTTACATACTTCTGCCTGCTTGGAAATCACTTGGGATGGTTTTCAGCAATGAATCAGCAGGGTAATAAATTCTGTAATAATAAGGAAAGGGAAAAAGGCATGCTAGCAAGGGACATCTGTGCTTTTTGAATTATTAGCTTGAAGCATACTTTTGCCAAAACCGATCTTGTCGTATTAAATAGAAAAAGACAACTTAAGGGTGTTAAGAAGAAACATTTCTATCTGTCTTAGACATCTTACTTCTCAGGAGTGATGAAACATGTTTCAGGAATAAACTGAACAAAAGTGGAAAAGGAGAGAGCAGCTAGAAAAAGGAATACATCACAAGTAGTTTAAGATCACACTGAAAACCACAGTTGTAGGAGCAGTAACAGCAGAGGGTACTGAATGTTAAAAGTCAAGAAGAATTCAAGAGAATAGACAAGAATGAGCAATATTTCCCCATTTTTTGCAACCTTTAAAAATACGAATTTCCTGCACAACTGCATTCCGAACTTGTCTACAAAAATCTTCCTTTCTCAGTAGTGGAAAATGATCACACCCTTTAGGAGGGTTTTCAATATATTTTATTAAAAGTTTTACAAAGACTATAAAAACCAAAACTAATAAAGAGTAAAAGTAGCAAAGGAAGAAAGGAAGGGGGAAAAAAAGGAAATGTGAAAAAAGAAAGAATAAAAAGAAACAGAAAGCTTTTGATTACCTTCGCAGCAAATGTAAGTCCGATTACAAAATAACCTCTTACGCTACGATTACAAAAAATAAGCTCTTTCCTGTTATCGTCATTACAACCTCTTGCACAAACCACTCCACCTCTATGTCCAGCCTGCTTTCTCTCAGCTGTTCCTTACAAACATCTGTCTTCTCAAATTTTTGCTTCTCTCCCCACAGGTTAGACTCCTTGACTTATGTTAAAAGCAAGGTTGTCACTAAATGTACCTACGTGGGCAGATCAGAGCTCCAGAGAAACCAAATTACCTTCTCTTCATTTCTACCCTTCTCCAACTAGATAACAATTTGGATGAAGGAAAGTCCAGAGGATCCAACACCCTCTTGTGAGTCACTCAAACAGATTTTACACACACCCCTTTCTCCAGCTGATTCTGAAGAACTCACTACCCTGTTTTCCCCAAAATAAGACATCCTCTGATAATAAGCCCAATCGGGCTTTTGAGTGCATGGCAATAAGGCCAAGCGCTTATTTCAGGTTTCAAAAAAAATATAAGACAGGGTCTTTTTTTGGGGAAACATGGTAATGTAAAATAAAATAAAAGTTTAAAAATCCAGCCAGGAAGAAGGGGGAAGTGCACTCTACAGGCAAACAGAACAAATTTTATTTTATTTATTTATTAATTTAATTTGTATACCGCCCTTCTCCCAGAAGGGACTCAGGGCGGTGAATAGCCAAAATTAAAAATACATACAATACAAAAGTTAAGATAATTAAAAAGAATTAAATCATTAAATCAAAGTCTCTGTATATAGACAGAGACTTTGTAATGATGCAAAAAATGCAAGTTATGGGCCCAGAGGTTAAAGGAATATACTGAGTTTGTGTTGCCAAGGATATGTGCCCAAAGGGGACATTGAAAACAAAATGAGAATTTCCTCTTCAGGTTAAATATCCACAGAATTTGGAGGAATGGTAGAAAAGTTTTTTTTAATAATAGGACAAGCAAAACACTTCAGGGAAATTTTGTGCAACCATATAAATTTCCAAAAGAAATAGAGGTATAGTTTCTATGTCAAAGGACAATGCAGTAAAAATAAATACAGTATAATTTAAGGTCTGTCAAATTCTTCCTTGCTTGCTTCCATTCCACTCAGAAGGTGTTTTGGGTCTCAGATTTACCGCTCCTGAGGAGAGGTAGAATGCATTCCTTTCAAAATAAACAATTCAGTGACACTAGAGTAAAGGGCAAATCTTAGAAAATAATTTCTGAAACAAAATCTCTGATAGCATGATGAAGATGTTACTCATCTGTTAAGTGGTTCTGTTTATTTATTTATATTCCACCTTTATTATTTTTATAAATAACTTGTGGAGATAAGCATGCCCAATAATGCTGCTACCTTCTATTTTCCCCACAGTAACCCTGTGGGCTGGGCTGAGAGAGAATGGCACAAAGTCACCCAAATGGCTTTCGTGCCTACTGTGGGACTAAGAACTCAGACTCTCCTGGTTTCTAAAAATCTAAAACCGAGATTTAGATAACCTAGAAATCTAGTTTGGTCCTACTACGGTCCCTGAAGTAACCAAATTTATATCTCGGGTTACATAAAAACGCTTAATGCAGCTGTCTGGGGTCTATAAAAATCTGATTGGCTCTTCAACAGTTGTGCTACCTACACGTTGAAGGTAGGCACTTCTAGACTAGGTTCCCGCCTCTATCCGGCCACCCTCCTGTTGCCCTGGATTACAACGTTGGCTGGGAACGAAGGGCATTGTAATCCACCTCACCTGGAGGATGCTGGGAAGTTGGAAGAAGCCTGTTTAAATTAATATTGGGTTGCAATTTTCGCTAAGAAGTGAGGGCCTCCCGTACCATCCCCGTCCCCAGCGTTAACCCGGGTTGCTTTTCCACTCCACTCCACTCCACCCCGATCCCGATTTTCCCCTTCCTTAATCCCGTCCCACGCGCGCACTCACTCACCCTTTGCAAGGGAGCCCCCTCCGCCACGCGCAAGGGAAGGTGGAGTGGGATTGCTTTGCAAGGGCGGGCAAACGAAATCCGGGGGGGGGTGTCTCAGCTTCTTGTGACATCCAGGGCGAGGAAAGGCAGAGCGAGACCCGCCTCCCCGGCTGGGATCAACACGCCTTGATTGGGGATCTCCCGCTCGCCTGCGCGCTTCCTGGCTTCCTGTCTCTCTCGCAATTGCTTCCTTTGCTTTGCAAAAGGATCGGCGAGCGCCGCTTCTCTCTCTCGCGTGTCTGGAAGCGAGCGTGTCTGTGTTTTCTCTCTCTCTCTCTCTCTTTCTCACCCTTCCCACCCCCACCCCCCACCCCCGACTCAGTTCCCTTTTTCGTCCGCTCCCTCCTTTGCCTCTGGAAAGCAGCCAGGGGCCTTTGCTTGCATCGCGTATTGGTTCGGGGAAGCGTCTTTCCACCCGCTCGGCCGGTGGCTTTAAAAAAGGTGATTGGATGATTTCTTTAGCTCCGCGGGGTCGGAGAGGAGAGGGCCAGGTTGCGCGGTCTGCACGAACGCGGGAAGCTTGCGCTGCCGGTGCCATAAAGGGAAGGGAGAGGAGAGTCTAGCTGCGGTGAGCATCTTTTCTTGGGGGAAGAAAAAGGGACCAACCTGAAAAAGGGGCAAATCTGAAAGAGGCGCATCAAGAGGGGGAGGAAAAAAAACTTTGTAACTTTGCTTTACAAAGGAAAATTCAGGAGCAAAACCAACCAACAAGAAATGCATGTTCTAATAAAAACATATGAAACTGGGAGCCAGCTTGGTTTAGAGGTTAACGCATCTGGCTAGAAATCAGGAGTTCTAGTCCTGCTTTAGGCACGAAAGTCAGCTGGGTGACTTTGGGCAAGGGGTGAAATCCAGCAGGTTCTGACAGGTTCTGGAGAAACCGGTAGCAGCAGTTCGGAGAACCGGTAGCGGAAATTTTGAATAGTTCGGAGAACCGGCCAATACCACCCCTGGCTGGCCCCAGAGTGGGGAGGGAATGGGGATTTTGCAATATCCTTCCCGTGCCATGCCCACCAAGCCATGCCCACAGAACCGGTATTAAAAAAATTTGGATTTCACCACTGCTTTGGGCCAATCTCTCTCTCTCTCTCTCTCAGCTCAACCCACCTCACAGGGTTGTTGTGGGGAAAATAGGAAGAGGAAGGAGAATTGGGTATGTTTATTGCTTCGAGTTATTTATAAAAGAAAATAAAGATAGGATCAGGTAAAATCTACTTACCTTCCCAACCGGTTCGGAAGTGCACACGCCCTGCACACGTCTCATGCGCAAACAGACCCTCTGTGCATGCAGAGGTTACACCCGGAAAGTAACGATGAACGGGCAGGTGGCCAGAGCCTCGTTCCGCCATTGCTACCAGTTCTCCGAACTACCAGCCGCCATCGCTACCAGTTTGGTCGAACTGGTCCGAACCGGGAGCATTTCACCCCTGGGTGGGATACAAATAAAGAATAAGAAGCTATAAAATTATTAGAAGCAAGGATTTCTGATGTCAGATTGTGTATGAAGTGGTACCAGTTGTATAGTAAAAGTGAAAGGACTAAAATAAAGGACCAAAGTGAGTTTTCTGAAATAAAGGACCTCAATTTACAACTATTTGTTTAGTGACTTCTAAGTTAAAGTGGCACTGAAAAAAAGTGACATAGGATTGTTTTTCACGCTTCCAACCATTGCAGTATTCCCATGGTCACATGATCAAAATTCAATTACGATGGTTGCGATGTCCTGGGGTCATATCATCGCCTTTTGTGATCTTCTGACAAGCAAAGTCAATGGGGAGGCAAGATTCACTTAACAAACATGTTACTAACTTAACTACTGAAGTTATTCACTTAACAACTGTGGCAAGAAAGGTTGTAAAATGGGACAAAACTGACTTAACACCTGTCTTGCTTAGCAATAGAAATTTTGGACTCAGTTGTGATTGTAAGTCAAGGACTACCTTTATTGACTAATAAAGGACATATGGTCATCCATAAAATACTGTATTTTTCAGAGTAAAAGACGCAATGGAGAATAAGACACACTTTAGTTTTGGGGGAGGAAAATAAGAAAAAAGCTGATTGGCAGGTAGATAGGCTCCCAGAATATCCCCAATCAGCTGTTTCCAGAGGTGAATTTTAGCAACAGGTTCCTTGGTTGTGAGCTCTGTGCCTTGCTTTTTTTTTCTGCCTCTGAAACTTCTGAAACCCCATTTCAGAAAAAACTTTTTTTCTGCTTCTGAAAGCCTCTGAAACAGCTTCAGAAAAAAAGCCTCTGAAGCTCTATTTGGGGGCTTTTTTTCTGAAGCTCTGTTTGGGGGCTTCTTTTCTGAAGCTTCGTTTCTGATGCTTTTTTCAGCCTCTGAAACCTCCATTTGAGAAGCTGGGCAGGGCTACATTCGGATTATAAAATGCACCCAGATTTTTACCCTCTTTTTTTGGAGGGAAAAGGGTGTGTCTTATACTCCGAAAAATATGGTAGCTGAATTTAGGGTTGGAGCTAGGACTGGAGGCTCCAATGTTCTCTTACGGGAATTGGGGAGGTACTTTTACCCCAATCTGATATTTTGTTTGGGTTAGATATTTGGAGGGCGACAGGGTGGCTAAAGCTATAATGAGGAACTTGTTTGTGTTAAAAATCACCATCTGGTTGTAAAGTTTACTAGGAAATCCCCAGGAATTGCTGAACTTTCCATCTTCCATATCAAAGATACCTGAATAGCTTGTTACTTCGATCCTCTTCTGATGTTGCAGGCTCAGGCATGATCCAAATCTACCTCTTGGAGGGAAAAGCATTTGTGTGGAACTACGCAGACGCGCGGCGAATCCGAGAGGAACATCGCATTGTTGGCGTGCTGGTGGGGGCATTGCCTCGGAAGCCACGGCAGAATGTTCGGCTTGGGCTGCCCTTGGAATTGCTTCCTGAAGAGGCTCAGCTGTTATTGGACAAGGGGTTGGCAACCCTGGTTAGGAGCCCAACATCTCAGTCCCTTGGCCATGGGAAGAACCAGGTAATGATTTAACCAACCTTTAATTTTTGATTTAAAAGTGAAGGATAAGCTCCCCTGTTCCCAAACTCTGCAAAGTGTAGAGATCAATAGTCTACAGTGTTTTTGAGACATTCCTTTACAGGTGGGCTTTGACTTACAACTGCAATTGAGGCCAAAATAACATTGCTAAGCAAGGTGGTTGTTAAGTGAGTTGCACCCGATTTTATGATTTTTTTTTGCCGTAGTTGTTAAACGAATCACTGCAGTTATTAAGTGAATCATACAGTCAGTAAGTAAGTCTGGTGTCTCCCATTGACTTTTGCTTATTGGAAGCTGACTGAGAAGGTCATAAATGGTAATCACATACACCAGGATGCTGCAACTGTCATAAATACATGCCAGTTGCCAAGCACTCAAATTTTAATCACATGATCATGGGAGACTCTGACAGTCATAAGTCTGAGGACCAGTTATAAGTCAGTCCCATTTTTCAGTGCCATTGTCAAACACTCACTAAACAAATGTTGTAAATCAAAGACTCCTTGTAATTTCTTCCAGCAATGAAATTATGATGTAGTATTCTTTTTTTCCCCCCAACAGCCATTTATCCTTTTTCTTTCCCTTCCTCCCCAGCTGTGTAGTAAAGTAAAATAAACTCAGACATCATTGTAACATCACAGTTGGAATATCCAAGAAGTTGGCATCAGTTTTATGTTTTATAGTTTCTCTTCCTGGGAAATTATATTTCTTCCTATTTGTGCAGCAGAATTAAATACGAATGGATGTGTATAATTTCTGGCTGCCAATAGAAGCTATCCAAAATTTTGTTTAAAAAAAGAAGGTAGTAAAAATTCCAAAGCAATTTCAATAGATCCTTTTGCTTTTATGTTACTTTTCAGTTGGCAGTGAATGTTTCCATGTATGATCCAGAAGGTGTATACGTGGTACCTCGTTTTGCTGCATATAAGAGTTGCAAATTAGAGCTCTGACTTGGATTATTCTGTAGCTCAGAAAAAGGAATGACATTTATCAATCATGTCCCCTTCCAGTATCCCTAACCGGAATGGCCAACCTGACTGGAAGGTTGCTTATGTATAATTGAGCTTGCTGCTTTGTGTCTCTAGGACTCCTTATTCCCAGAGAAAGTGGTTGCCTATGAGAAAGAGCTAGAGGAGAACTACCAGGAGCAGCTGAGGCTCTCTGCAGAACAGAAGAAAACCATGTTAGAGTCTCTTGCAGACCATATAACCCAGGGTCGAGCAAAGAAATGGCAACGGAAACGAGAAAAAGGTGAGCCAGTGTGTATATTCGGTTATTATTATTTTTCATTTGGAGTTTAGAAACCCTGAAACCATTGTACAGGTTGGACCAATCCTGAGTCATTTTTTCATTGTTAAATGAAGGTAGTGCTTAAGCAAAGTACCGTGTTTTCCCGGAAAATAAGACCTTCCCTGAAAATAAGCCCTCCTTGAAAATAAACCCTCCCCTGAAAATAAGCCTTAATAAGACCTCCCCGAAAATAAAGCCAAGCGCTTATTTCAGGGTTCAAAAATATATAAGACAGGGTCTTATTTTGGGGGAAACACGGTAGGATGTCACGAATGAAGACAAATATACATGTTGCAGGATAATGTTATAGGATCCAAACCGGATCAGTCACCGAGATCAGAGGTTTTGTCTTCCAAGCTTTTGGATTCATGGTGGAGCCCATCCTCAGGGAACGTATCTCTAGCAGAGTGTCTGTTCTCTAGCACACTCTGCTAAAGAGAAGATCTCTAGGGCAGTGATGGCTAACCTTTTTGCCATCGTGTGCCAGGAGAGAGGGGGGGTGGGGGAAGGTCGCGTGCGCACGTGCCCACACGCATGCATGCGCAACCCCCTCCCCCCTCCCCCCCCGCTCCTGGCATATGATGGCCTGGTAGGCCCGTTTTTCTTTCTTACCTGGCTCCAGGTCCTCTCTGTGTATCTGGGAAGGGCAAAAACAGCCTTTCCCACTCCTTTGGAGGCCCTACGGAGGCTGAAAGGGCCCATTTCCCAACTCTCGGTGGGACAGGAAGTGACATTTTTTGCTGTCCCCAGCCTCCAGAACCTCTCTAGGAGTCTCTAGGAGCCTCTCTAGGAGTCTCTGGAGGCTGGGGACAGGAAAAAAGTCACTTCCTGTCCCACCCAGGAAATGGACCCTTTCAGCCTCCGTAGGGCCTCCAAGAGAGTGGAAAGGCTGTTTTCGCCCTTCCCAAATACACAGAGAGGATCTGGAGCCAGGTAAGAAAGAAAAACGGGCCTTCCCCACCCCGCCCCCAGGCCCTCCAGAGGCAGGAAACAGCCTGTTTCCCTACTTCTGGTGGGCCCAGAAGGCCCGAAAATCAGCTGGCCGGCGTGCGCATGCGCCCCAGAGCTGAGCTGGCGTACCCACTAATATGGCTCCTCGTGCCACCTGTGGCACGCGTGCCATAGGTTTGCCATCACGGTCTTAGGGTAGGCTCCTGCACAAGTCTGATAGCTCGGAAGTCAAAACCTCTGATACCAGTGACCGATCCTTCAGACTATGATATCCCAAGGATTCTGCTTGAGGGGCTTACATATTTCTGCTCCCAAATTACCCTCCTGAGGTTGACAGTTCTTATTCTGTTTCCCCGAAAATAAGCCCTAGCCTGATTTTCAAGTGTGCGCCTAATATAAGCCCTACCCCAAAAATAAGTCCTTGTGAAGGTGGTGGGTGTGGCCAGCAGATGGCAAGGTGTGGCCAGAAGGAGATGGCAAGCATGTGCGGGACGAGGGTGTCTGGCAGCAGCCACAGCCCACGCAGCACAGGTGAGTTGATTCCCTGTCAAGCAGCAGATTGAGACGTGGGGGGAGGTAGGCAATCCAAACGCAACTTGCAGGCCGCTGAAAAGCCAAGAGTTGGTAGGACGTGTGGCTGGCCATGGGGGGGGGGTGTCATCTTCACGCAGCTGCACCGGAAGCAGATGTAGGCAGAAGCGCTGGAGGGAAGGCAGGCAATCCGGACGTGTCGCACAGGCCATGGGAAAACTGAGAGTTAGTGGGCTGGAGCGGCCACAGGAGGTTCATCTTTGTGCGCGTCCAGATCGCCTGCCTCCCTCTCCCTCGCGCCTCTCCTCTGTCTGCTGCTTGGACAGAGAATCAACTCAACTGCGCAGTGTGGTCTGTGCAGCCCCAGAGTGCGCCCACCAAGGGACTGGCAGGCTGCAACTGCTGCCAGATACTGTCAATCCCTGCACGTTTGCTGTCTTTTGTGCGCGCGACAGGGGATGGCATGCCCAGTCAGGTTGATCACCCTGAAATTGTATTTCCCCAAAAATAAGCGCTGGTGCTTATTTGGGAACCCCAAAAAATATAAGACCAAGTCTTATTTTGGGGGAAACACAATAGTATTATGAGCTGCTTGGTATAATAATCCATACCCAGGAGCATTTTTTGACCCATCACAACAGTAGATCCAAGATTAAATTTAGCTGTTGATATTTACTACTAATAATACCATAGAGCCTCCTGCTCTACAGTTCTGCCCATGCTTTCTCCTATTTGATGTCACCATTGCTAGCCTTGAATTTACAGTGACAGACAGCATGGAATTTTATTGATGACAAAAGTGACAAGTTATTATTTTTCAATATTTGATTGAAAAAAAACTACACTATGTAGATCAGGGATGTCACTCAAGGACCAGAGGATGGATCTGGCCCACAGAGTGCTTAGATCTGGCCCACGGGGCCACCCTTGAAACAGCGGACTAGCCCGTGGTATCTCTGCCAGCGAAAACATAGCTTGTGAGGACCGCTCTGTTTTCGCTGGCAGAGCTCTTGGGCTACCACAGGCGCCCCTAACACGAGTGATGTCAAGCTGGCCATGCCTTCCCTGGGCCCCCGAGGTCAAGCACAATCCTGATGCAGCCCTCAATGAAATCAAGTTTGACACCCCTGATGTAGATAATGCACTAGTTACAACCATAATGGAGACTGTCCATCACAGTCGTAACTTTGTGATGGTCATTAAGCAAACAGCTGTGATTATTAAACAAACACCAGGGTCATTTAGCAATGACTTGCTGTGGACACAGTTTTGCTGAAAACTTCTTGGCAAAACTGTCATAAAATGAAGTCACATGATCTTGGGACACTGCAAATGTTACCCGATTGCTGAGCATTCAAAATGTGATCATGTGATAGGGGCATCCATTGGAACTTTGAATCTAGGTTGTAAATGTCCTCCCAGATAGGTCCGTCAGAGCTTTGAATGGTTGCTAAGCTACTGGTTCTAAATTGAGGATTACCCAGGGGTGAAATGCTACCAGTTCACTCCAGTTCAGGAGAACCGGTAGTGATAAAAGCTATTGGTTCGGGTAGCTTTGGTGGCGCAGCAGACTAAAGTGCTGTTAAGTAGCACTTAGCTGCCAGCTGCTTGCAATTACTGCAAGTTCAAATCTCACCAGACTCAAGGTTGACTCAGCCTTCCATCCTTCCGAGGTAGGTAAAATGAGGACCCGGTTTGTGGGGGCAATAAGCTGACTTTGTATAAAAAAGAACACCACTTGGGGGGGCGGGGGCGAAAGCCCTACTAAGCAGGTATATACAAAAGTATGAAGGCTATTGCTTAATGCATTGTAAGCTGCCCTGAGTCTCCGGAAAAGGGCGGCATATAAATCGAATCAATCAATCAATCAACAAACAAACAAACAAACAAACTGGTAGTAAAAAAAAGCTACCGGTTCCTCTGAATCAGTATTTCCGACGATCAGCTGTGCAGCGGGATTTACCTTTGCTACAAAGCAGGAAATCCTGCTTTCTAGCAAAGCTAAATTGCGCGGCACAGCTGATCCCCCCCTCGCTGTTCTACTTACCTTCCCAAGCCTCCTTTTGGCAGACATTGTGCATGCTCATGCAGTGCGCATTTGGCGCGCATGTGTTGCCAGCGAACCGGTAGCAAGCCAGATTTCACCTCTGGGACTACCTGCATGCAGAGAAAAATGTAATTGTAGAAATTTGAGGGACTTTGGTTCAGCTGCATCTTGAGGAGAGAAGTGGATTGTTTTTTTAGCCTATTATGTCTGGACAGGAATCTGTTCATTTACTAAAGACAATCCAATGAAAAATTAGATCATCTCTCCTTCCTTTCCTAGATCCCCTTGTACAGCCTGCAGAGTCTGGTTCCTGTTTTGTACTTCCCCGAGAATCAATGATGATCCAGCTCCCCACTGCACGGACTCAAATAACTCAAGAAGAAACAGTAGATTGGCATGTGGCATCCCAGTTCTGGCCTTATGCTGGTCAAGAGCTTCATGAAACGCGCTACCTCATTTTCCGGGACCTCTGGGAACGAGGTTATTATGTCACAACTGGGAGCAAATTTGGAGGTGACTTCCTCGTTTATCCAGGTGAAGGCAGATTTCTCAGAGAATTTACAAGAATGTTTCTGTATGAGAACAGTGCAGGTGGTCCTCGGCTTACAACAGTTCGCTTAGTGACTCAAGTTATAATGGCACTGAAAAAAGTGACTTATGACAATTTTTCACATTTACAACCATTGGAGCATCCCCGTGGTGACATGATTTACGTTTGGATGCTCGACAGCTGACTCACATTTATGACGGTTGCAGTGTCTTGGGGTCATGTGATCACCTCCTAACCAGCAAAGTCAATGGGGAAGCCTTTGACTTAACTGTGTTACTAATTTAACAAATGTAGTGATTCACTTAACAAATGTGGTGAGAAAAGCCGTAAAATGGGGCAAGGTTCGCTTAACAAATTTCTCACTTAGCAACATAAATTTTGGGCTCAATTGTGGTTGTAAGTCAAGGACTACCTGTATTGAGTCTTTTGAAGGAGCCTCTTCAAGTGAAGAATGATGGCTTAAACCTGACTCGGTGGCTCAGTGGCTAAGACACTGAGCTTGTCGATCAGAAAGGTTGGCAGTTCGGTGGTTCGAATCCCTAGTACAGGTCTCCTGCCTGAGCAGGGGGCTGGACTAAATGACCTCCAAGGTCCCTTCCAACTCTGTTACTGTTAAACTTTTTATCTGTGACGAAGTGAAGGCAATATAGCTAAACAGGTGTCCCTTCACTTTTGTCTCTGGCCTAAGTATGAAGCCATGATACCCTGGCCTTACCCCATATTTTAAGCTATAAATCGATGTTTGTAGCACACAGGGATTATAAACCAGAGCATGCTAAAGAAGAACCACATGATGGTTTTATTACAATGTTACTGTCATTCTGTATGTGAGTTGTACAGACAGGAAAAGTAAAAAGGATATTGGAGTGGGAATGGGGACTTCACAAACGGGGAGTTAAATAGGCTTCCTCAAAACTGCTGCAATCCACCTTCCTGAAATTGGTATTCTCCAGATGTCTGAGACTTTATAATCTAGCAGACAAGGCTATCAAATAAAGGCATTTATAATAGGTCATCCCCCAAAGCTCATGTATTAAGGAATATCTGCCTCCTTTTTTTTCCCATTAATTTAACTATCTCTGGATATTAAAAGTTGCCTATTTAACTGCACCTATCCCGGGGCTTTTTAAGAGTGTGTTTGCGCATGCAGATTATGAAGAAGTCCTCAGCAAACTGTTCCAGCAATTTTCTGGCAGGGCAAATAGCTATTAAGAAAAATTTTTGCTTTTCTGTTGAAGACAAGTACATAAAGCAGGTTCTCTTTCATACTCCCTAATGAGCCAGTGTTCCGGACACCATGCTGAGGCCATCCTTACCGCTTTGCTAATTCTTCCCTCTTCTCTTGATAGGCGATCCCATGAGGTTCCACGCCCATTACATCGCGCTCTGTTTTTCCAAAGATGCACCCATCTCTCTGTGTGACATCATCAGTGCTGGACGCCTTGGCACCAACGTGAAGAAGACCGTCTTACTCTGTTCAGTGGAACAGGAAGGGACTGTAGCATATACATCCCTACAGTGGAGTGGGATGCAGTGAGAACAGGGAGAAAAGACTTGGATCCTAGGGTTGCCAGTGGTGAGGTCTGGAATTGTTAGGATATGCTTGGACTAAGTGTTTTTTGTCAGGGCAACCTGGTCTACCCAATTATGGGATGGGGCATACTGCTTCCGTTTTCGCCTTTCAGCCCCAATCCAGGAGCCTTCACAGGCAGTCGCTTTCGCGACAAACTATTTGTTTTGGTAAAACATAAATTCAGTATGCTTGGACTGTCGCCTATTCTTTGTCTTCCAGAGCAGGGGTCCCCACTCCCTGGGCCGCGGCTCACTACTGGGCCATGAGATTTTCAGAACCAGGCTGTGGACGTGGTGTGTGCACATAGCCTCACTTAGTTGAGAAGGTGCGTGCATGCTCCATTTGCGTGAGCACATGCCTACCACTGATGCAAATGGAGCTACCAGTGCACTTGCCAGCTGCCCATGTGGAACCAACCCCTCTCCCGCTTTGCTGGTCCACAAAGCCGGAAAGATTGGGGAGCTCTGTTCCAGAATTCCCAGAATTCTCAGATATCATGCGTAAAAGTACTGGGAATGCTCGGAATTGTAGTCTCAATACATCTGGGTTGAGATAGTATGTTACGTTGACATTAGTCTGAATTATCATGGCAATTGGGATTGGAATTTTGGTTGCTAAGTGATGCTGTTGAAAAGGGTGATCTCATATGATTCAACAGCAATTTACCAGTCTCTAGTGCCATCGTGACCTCAACATCAAGCAAATTAAGTGATTGCTACGTGGGAAGAAGCAAAGAGTTCCAGGCCAGCAGGTCAGGGCTTTGGTGGGCATATGGGCACTAAGAGCATGGATGGGTACTGTGGACAGGTGCTGCAGATAGACATTATGAAGCATGACCAGGCATAACAGCTGTGGGAGTGACCTGCAACCTCCTGCCAGTTCCATATTGGCTCTGCTTTTGGGAAACTGGCAGGGAAAGTTGCAAATGCTAATTGACTGTAGGATGCTGCAGCAATCATAGTTGCAAGGCGGTTATCAAGTGTCTAATCTTGGTTACATGACCATAGACAGTACAACAGCCTCAATTTGGGAGGGACAGCTGTAGGTATCCCTTGTTAGGCACCGTTGAAACTTTGGTCACCGAATAAGTGATCTTAACTTAAGGACCTATAATCATTATATTTATATTTATGCATATCGACTATAAAGGTACTCTTGGCCACCTTAATGTTTTACATGTATACATGGTGCTTTAGAATGCAATGTTCTAAAAGAAGTTGCAGAAGTAAACTCCAAGTAATTTTATTTATTTTATTTATTTATTATTTAAATTTTTATACCACTCTTCTCCCGAGGGACTCAGCCACAATAAAACACATAAATCCATAAAGTTTAAAAACAGTTTAAGACATATTAAACATATTAAATAATTTGGCCCTTATATTCCTATCAGGTAATGGTTGCTCTCAGGTAATAGTATCAGAAAGGTCTCTGGTTGAGCATGTCTACTGTGCATAGAATTTCCAACATATTTTTCCAACAATGGGGTAGGTAGCTTAGTGCCCTCCTAGTATCTTGGATTACAATTCGTACAGTCTCTTGACCCATTTCACTTGCTGTTGAAGTCCACAAGAGCTGTACATCTGTACTCGGCAGGCATTTGTTACAAGTGTATACCACCTATAGCTTGATTTGACCCCATCTTTCATGGCTCCTGCTAGTTGGGAATAAGGAGAGCTGTTGCTCAACACATTCCCAGGGCAGTAGCTGGAAAGGCTGATATCTTGTTAGATCAGTGACCTCCAACCTTTTGGGCACCAGGGATCGGTTTTGTGGAGAAGTTTTTCCTTGGACAGGAGGGAGCGTAGTTTTCCATGCTGTCTGCATCCCATAGATGGGGCTCCGCTTGTTTGCACAGACCAGGTTTTGGCATGCTGTGGACCGGTGCCGGTCCATGGACCGAGGGTTGGGGGTCCCTGGGTTAGATAGCACTGCTGCAGCAACATAAAAGACATTTGGTCTTTTTTTCAGGTGTATCTTTGTATTTCAAACAAAAAGAAAAGAGATCGTGCTGCAAGTAGCACAAGCTGGAATCTAATGACTAAGTGCAGAATGGGAAAATAATACAAAAGCCTGCATTTACCCCCTATGCCAGTGATGGCTAACCTTTTTGCCATTGTGTGCCAGGAGCGGGGGGGGGGGGTGTCGCACGCGTGCGTGCCCACACCCAGAACTTTTTTTTTTATAAACTTTTATTGAATTATATCTAGTACAATACAAGTAAAATCGGTTAGACAATCTTACTTTATATACAAATTGGATACATTTTTATTATAGTGTCTCATAATTTACCCATTTATTCTAATATTTACACTATCTCTTATCCCTTCTTCATGTGATCTTCCATCCAATTATACCAAAGTCTCCACACCGTACAGTATTCCGAATCCTCTTTCTCATTTATCTCATATGTTAGTTTGCTCATCTCGGCACATTCTAAGATTTTCTGTATTATATGTTCTTCTAGTGGTGTCCCCTTTCCTTTCCAATGCTGTGCGTATACTAATCTAGTTGCTGTGGTGATATGTATAATTAAATACCTCATTTTTTTCTCGTATTTTCTTTTTAGTACTCCCAGGAGAAAGGTTTCGGGTGCCAGATCTATTTTTCTTCAATTACTTCTTGTATCCAATTTTGGATCTTTTTCCAATACTTCATTGCTTCGGGGCATGTCCGCCACATATGAAAGAAGGTACCCTGATAGTCACACTTCCAGCATTTAGGGCTTTTTGCTAGTTTAGCAGGGGCTAGATGCCATCTATATAGCATTTTGTATTGGTTTTCTTTAAATGATGATGCTTTTGTCAATTTATAATTTATATTCCAGATTGTTTCCTACTCATCCAAATTTATACTATGACCTATGTTTTTTGCCCACGCGATCATTTGCTCTTTTACCACCTCTTCTGCCCTGTCGTATTCTAGTAGGTAATTATATAATCTGGCTAGTATTCTTTTTTCCGGGCCTATCAATAATTTATCAAATCCATTTCTTCCCATCTCTATTCCAAATTCCTCCTTATCTTTTTGATGTCTCAATTTGATCTGCAAGTATGGCCACAAGTCGATGTGGATCAGTGGTGGGATTCAATTTTTTTAACAACCGGTTCTGTGGGTGTGGCTTAGTTGGGGACGTGGCTAACTGGTCATGTGACCAGGTGGGCATGGCTAGCTGGTCATGTGACAGGGTGGGCGTGGCTAGCTACTCATGTGACAGGGTGGGCATGGCTATGTGCATAGGGACTACTCGGCTGAAAAAAGTCATTTCTGACTGGTCCTCGCACTTTTGACTGGTCCTCACACTTATGACCATCCTCACATTTCTGCCCATTGCAGCATTCTTAACAACCGTGTCAGTCATTTCACAACTAGTTCTCTTCACCACAGTGAGAAGATAGGGCACAAAACGTAAAATGTGAGGACAGTCATAAGTGCAAGGATTGGTCAAAAGTGAGGACCTGTCAAAAATCACTTTTTCAGCCCTCTGAGTAGTCCATATGCACATAGGGACTACCCAGAGAGCTGAAAAAGTGATTTCTGACAGGTCCTCTCACTTTTGACCAATCCTCACACTTATGTCCGTCCTCACATTTATGCCCGTTGCAGCATTCTTAACAACTGTGTCACTCATTTCACAACTACCTCTCTTCACCACGGTGAAAAGATAGGGCGCAAAATGTAAAATGTGAGGACAGTCGTAAGTGCAAGGACCGGTCAAAAGTGCGAGGACCAGTCAAAAATAACTTTTTCAGCCCTCTGAGTAGTCCATATGCACATAGGGACTACCCAGAAGGCTGAAAAAAGTGGTTTCTGACCGGTCCTCGCACTTTTGACCTGTCATCATTTATGCCCATTGTAGCATTCTTAATTAAATTAATTAAATAAAAATGACCTGCTGGAGCAGTCCGAGGCAGTCCGAGGCGGGTGTTCAGGCCGGCTGCAGGGCAAGGTGATACAACTGGGGTAGGTAGGCCGCCCAGGTAGGGGCCCAGGTGGGAGGCGGGCACAGGCCTACAGGGCTGGCTGCAAGGTGAAGCAATGGGATGGGGTAGGTCAGGGGTCTGTAACCTTAAACATTCAACCTAAGCACCCAGTCATTTCTTAATTACCTGGGAATATGCACCTTCCCATATAGTCAATGGGACTTGCTTTGAATAAATATCTGTTGTGAATAGTTCTGTTGTAGAACTGACACATGTGAGATTGCAATATCACACTGGATTGATAGTGGAATCTTTCTTTAGACTAGTGCCTATATAATATTTTAAATTCAGGAGATTGATTTAAGAGCTACAGAGTCAGCTGTGCATTGTCCAGGTAGCCTGTTGGGTACTTCCCTAATACCCAACATAAATAATCTAAAATGGCTACTCCACCTAATGATTGTTAGTACTGTTACTATATACGTTTACTTGGCTGTGGTCCTGTGCTCATTTTAAGCCCACATTGAGCCCAGAAGGGGAAAAATCTGGAATGTACATGATTTCAGAAAATAAGCATTCCTTGTTGGTTATAAAGAAACTTCCTGACAATGTGAACCAATATAGGTGCAGAAATATTTCAGTCATAATTTCACATATGAAATAGCCATTTGTGTAATACAACCTGCATATTGTTCAAAACAGTCATTAGTATTATGGCTGATGTTTGACAGCAAGCCTAAAAGTCAAAGATCATAAGAGTGCTTCTTTCTCTGTATGTATACAAAACATCACATACCAGGAATAGCATATTAAGATGGACTTATGCAACCTGATGTACAAATAAACACGCACATATTTATGCTCTGGACTATAGTCATTGCATGCATGTAAATCCCTGAAAAATATGTGGTAGCCCTGGGCAAAAGAAAGGCAGTAAAATCACTCTAGGTGTAAGGACAGAGTAAAATAAATAATGGAACAATTAAAAATAATAGCACAGAGTTTTTTTCTCTCTCTCTCCCTTCCTCTTTCTTTCTCTTCTATCTCTCTCTCCTTCCCTTTCTTTCTTTCTTTCTTTCTGTCTGTCTATCTCTTTCTGTCTCTCTTACTCTCTCTCTCTCTCTCTCTCTCTCTCACACACACACACACACACAAACCTGGTCTTGGCACAAAGTATCTGTTGTTACAGAAGTTCTCATTTCTCTCTCTAATACACCTCATACTAATCGATACCCTATCTCTCAATGTAAAGCCTATGCATGTTTACTTGG